TTTTTTGTTTTATATTATTTTCCATATTTAATTGTAAGCAGAAGCTTTAGTTGACTGTAAATCCGGAATCAACGCGCTAACTCCATCACGAACACATCAATTCCACGCTTCTCTTGCGGCTTTCGTGCAGAAAACCTAAACACATAATTGCCTTGACACTTCTAGGCGTTCCCCATGTCTAATTGTGACGTAATTATACCAAGATTTGTTATTAAAGTGGATAATAAAATAAAAAAATTAGTTAATCTTCGATTTTTAACAGTTCTCTTATTTTTGCTAAAAATAAAATCAGCTGTGCTCTTCTAATCCTAACCATAACTCAATTTCCCTTCTTTCACTTTATCACTTTACATACCTTATTCAGTTTGGTGATAGCTATATAACCACTTTTCATTTGATTACTCGCAATTGAGTAATTAAGACACTGAGATAATATGATAGCACGTGTTGGAATAGTCAAATTGGTGCAACACTACTAGTTCCAGTAGAATACTACTGATAGCAAGTTATTGTAACGTTTTGTTCAACTTGTTAAATTGATAAGGAAACACGGTTATTTGTTTAACAAAAAAAATAACTTTATTATTAACTAAACTTTTGAATATTCTTATCTCAGGGTTTTAATAAAAATAACAATAATAATATAGCGAGTTCAGGTTCAAAACAGGAAAATTAATTTTACAGGTTTCTATTTTTAACTTCGTTAACTGAGATTACTAAGAATGAGAGAGAGAGAGAGCGTATACCGCCAATAAAGACAGATGTCAAACTATTATGTTTACCTTAAGAAACTAATAAAAATTATAGACTTAAGTCTGCCGATAACAATCGATAAATGCTCAAACAAAACAGTTTTGTTCCTTCAAAAGGCTGGTAAGTTAGTTTGAATTATTGACATGAACATGAATAGTAAAATTTCCACTTATCTGATAAATAACTCTTAGGTTATGTGCGATTCAATTCGATTGAAGATCTCTATTGGGTAGGAAGGTCCCTCTTAGGAATGGAAAATGGACAGGAATCCGGAAAGCTTCGGCTCAGATAATTATTCTTCAATCGTATATTGTTTGTATTAGGAATGTGGTAACTGCCCTTGGAAAATTTTCAGGAATCAGGTAATTTTTTCTCAATTTAATTCCGATGTTCAAATTTATTTAATTAAATTTTGCTTCCTTTCTTTTTTAGGTTAATAAAAAGAAATCTTTATTCTGTGTTAAGTTTGGATTGAACTTATCGAAGAAATTTTTGGAATCGGAGAACTAATTTTAGGTTAGAAAACTACTTTGGATTTCTTTAGGTTAGATTTTTTAATCAAATTTAACAGAGCTCTTGCCCTTACTAAATTGGACTGCCTTGGCTCAACTTTTTCGTCTTCTTATATAGCCTTTTCCCCTTCTCCAGAAAATTTTCTTCGTTTTGTTTTAAACCCTCTATACTCATTGGTAGATGGGTTTCGCGCCATTTCTTCTCTTAAAAATATTTTAAATATTTTTAAATTTCGAAAACGCCATCTATTGGATTTCTTTTGAATTACTCAAAATTCCAAAATTTCTTTTATTAATATCTTCTTTATTTCTTCACTACTCTGGATGAGACTTCGTATTTAATGCATATGTCCTTCTATTTCAGTCATCCATTGGAGGTTTCAAAATTCTCCAACCACAAAAGAAGTTTGAAGTTTACAAATTTAAAATCCAATTTCCAAAGTCAAAATCGTTCAAAATCTTCCGGAACCTAATAAATTAGATGTAGCTGACACTGATCTTCCCGTTTTGAATGAATATTAACAGTTTTAAAAGAATTATGAGCAACTAAAAATTAAATGTCAAATGAATTGAGGTTATGTCTCTCTCTCTCAGATAACCTGTTTCGGAAGCTTTATTATTACATTACGTATGACATCACCTTATCCTCTCTTTATCAATTGAGTCACAAATACCTTCAATCTTTCCTTTAAAAATCACTGTTGATTTAATACTCTACTTATGAACATCATGGAAAAGTAATTAGCTCAATCAAGTGGCGCTAAAGCGTTTGTGATGGCCGAAGAATGAATTGGCCTGTGGATCGAGGAAAGACTGCGCATGCTGTGCACTAGTTAAGTCCGACTTTACAAAAAGGTACTTCATCGATATAATAATGTGAAGTGAGACTCCCCGTTACTAGGTGCGCAAGTCAATGATTAAAAAAACTTCAGCAATCATTTAAATTTTCTTATCAATATAGAATTAGAAAAGAATAGGGAAAATAAAAGTTACACCAGTCATGTTAAATTAGTTATATGAGAGAAAACGTAGACAGATGATCAATAGACACGAGAAAAGTCAAATACACCATGAGAATTCTGCTAGAACGAAATAGGTAGGAAAAATTGCAGTAGAAAAACAGCTGTTTCAAATCACCTTAACAAAAAGGCAGATTTAAACACATAGATGTACTTCAATAATCGAGATGAACTTGAGCATACGCTTTAATACTGTAGCAGATGGAAAATTGTGAGGCTAAGAATTGGGGGAAAGAAAGAATAAAGAAATTATATAAGAAATTATATAATAAGAAGTTATATACGGAAGTATGAGGAATGTTTTGGCCGTCAAATTAAGATGTAAAAAAAGTGCAAATTGTGCTTTTTTAAATAGAAAACGTATTTAAGAACCAATAGTGATTAAGACGAATATAGGATAAGCTGTCAAATGATAGAAATGAAAGAAGGCGAAAGGAAAGAGTGTCTGCCATGTCTAAAAGTAATATAAGAAGTGACTGGATCCGTGAAATGTGTTCAAATGGACAAGATCGAGGAAAAGACACTGGAGGGATTATGTTGAAAGGTTATAATTACAAGATAACAACCCCGTAGGTAGGTGAGAGGAAAGAAGAGAGAAGAGGAAGGAAGAGGGAGAAATTGAAAAAACAAGTGTAAACCCTAAAGTAAGAAGAAGAAGAAAAAGAAATATATTCCGTTTGTAGCCTGGTGAAATTCCTACGAATTTTTTTAAGATGGAACTGAGTATTTTGGTTCCTTAATGCCATTTATCTACTTTCTTATATAGCAAAAGCAGTATACAGTACGTGTCAAATGTAACCTTTCTCCATCTAACTACTAAACTGATTGAAATATCGTCTTGAGCAAAACCAGTATAAACGTTGCTGATTGCCATAATCTTCATTTAATCTTCAATTTTTGGTTGTGTCGCGACTTTGAGGTTCATGAAGTAAATGACCAGGTTGGGTTGGGTTCCAAAAAATTGTGAGTGGTGACAACGTGTTGTATGCAAAATATTAAAACAAAAAAATTGTGTTTTGGTTTATATATAGGTGTCCTAGATAACCGACTCACCATGAAAATCTTGGAAACGGTAAGAGATGTTAAATTAGAACAAACTTTTTCATGCATCGATCATTCCAAAACCTTCCATATATTAGAAACTTATGAAAGTTATTTAAACTTAATCATAAATATATCAATTACTTCAAATCTGGTCCAATTATTAGTTTAAATTATCTATGAAATGACAGAATTATATATTTTATATGAAGAAATTTGTAAGGATATATTTATAGATGTTATTTCATAATGCCACTTTTTACATGGAAGTTATTTTTGCTTAACAGCAAACTTTTTTTAGTTTACAGTTAGGATGTTATGGAAATCTGGATAGTATATCTGGATGAATTCAAGAAAGTCTTATGGATTGTGGCTATTCTGAATGTAAATGGATCTCATCCAAGTTATTTATGAAGTGAATCTCTAAATATATCCCAATCAAAACATGATCCAATAAATTTCAAATCTTTTAGTATTTTACCAAAATGGAAAGAAGAGAAAATCTTTAATGACATCATTATCTTGGTACACCTCAACTTCAATAGTGTGACCTTTCTCAGATATCGGTGGAATCCTATTCAAACGCAGGATTTGTAAAAAACGTTGTGCATGATGAATTTATTGAAATCTTGTGGAACACATCAAATATGCAGCAGTTAAATTATAGAGTCTGAACTAATTAAATGCTAATACTCTGAGTCTTTTCCTGGCAAATGGCTTTAGATATAGGACTCACTTTTCATTCAAGAGAAAATCGTTTTAAATAGTGATATATTTTTCAGTATGTTCCAGGTATAGGCTGGGCCACTTAACAGAATTATCCTGTTTATATATTGAAAGATATAGAGAAAAATAATCAAACATGATAAGAAATGTTATAAACTCTGTTGAAACTTTATATATAATTTAAAATATATATATCTACCTACGTAAAGATAAAACATATCTTTATTTAAATTGTTTTAAAATATATCAACTGTGGAATTGCCAAAGTAATATTACGTAAGTAAAACGGTCCTACCACAATTAGAGCAATGTTAAACACCTGGTCGCGAGGTAAGAGACTGGTTGTGCCCAGCCCGTTTTCTCTCTACACACCAAGCAAGCAACAATTCGTGGAACTGAACCGGCCAGAAACTCCACGAACGGAGTGCCGAGAAGAAAGCGATTAGACCTCCGCAAAACTGGCCATTGTCTTTATAAGACGGACAGAGATTCTGTTATAAACTAAAAAACCCAAGACGGGCGACGATGTCGAAGAAAAAAACTTGATTGCCTTTACAAAGTTTTTAATTATAAAGAAACAGTTAGGTTATTTGAAAATATCGTTATCGACGTGTCTATTATGGCAAAAATTTCTACGAAGAGAACTACCCGAATAATAACGAGAAAAAAAATTGTTGCTTCTACGTACGTTTAAAGTAGTTCTTTAATAGGCTATTAACTTTTTGTTGTCTTAATGGCTCCGAGTGATTGAGTTATAAAACGTGCTTTGGAAATTCACAAAAAAATTGGAAGGAATATCATTTTGATTAAAAAATGATCTTGGATGATTGAAAAAATGATTAATTAAATAAACTAAATAAGAAAATACATTAACATTCTCTATATACTGAATAACCAGAAAAAAGTAGTCTAATAATAACTAATTTAGTAATAATATATCAGCACTCACCGTTTTATTCTTCTTTAAATCAACATCTTGTTGCTTCAAGAAAAAATTTCCAAAAAAAAAGATAACACTCACTTAGGATTTAATCGAGATGAATGAAAAGAAATAAGAAGAGAGGTGCGCGACGCCTATAATTCTTTTTTTGGATGGATTTTAAAGGTTTTTATGAGGAGGAAAAAAGAAAACGATATAGAGAGTCTGTATGTATCTATCTGTATGGTATAGATAGAGTTCAGTGCACTTGCGTAAGTCTTGCGCGCGACGCTCGAATGGTGTTGTTTGGTGTAAACTTATCGGTTCGAAGTCGACCGCGGACTGACGGTAAATGAGCACACGTCGAGGCCAAACTGTTTGCTGGTTGAGAGATTCGTTCTTGCACTCCGCAGAAGAAGAAGAAAACGCTAGAGACTCGATGCGGTAAAACTAAGAACTAAAGAACCAATCCATTGTCTATAATTTTATAGATGTATTAACTATTTTTTTGTTGTGATTTATGTTTTATTTTGTTATGCGGAAAATTGCTTTTGGTAACAATGTATGCATACGCTTAACAGGTTAAACAGTTACAATCATTTCAAAAATTATGTATGAATGAAAAATTGAAGAAAGAAAACATGTTCTATTCACAAATATTCATTAAATTCAAATTATGTATTATGTGTTGTACGCAAATGTAAGAATAGTTTTTGAACTCATTGAATACTTATCATATCTGTACACAACAGACATGGAGAATGACACAATGATTAAAAACTGGAAATATGAGCTAATTACATAAGTGCAAATCAGGAGTTGGTCACACCAGCAAATACAATTATCGAGCACTTTGCATACATAATTTCATTAATACTTAATAAATGATCAATCCTCTATACTCTTATCAAGGAAGGAATAATATACTGCACTATCAGCTTATTACTTATTATGCCAGACCTTGAAATCAATACTCTTACACTATTCACAAATAACTTTTTGAACCATTCAGGATTTTGACTGCGATGGGGAGGTATGTAGACGAGGACGGCTTTAAATATGTTTTGGGGTACACCACTGGACTGAAGACATGAATGGTGAGAACTGCGAAAATGTTGCTGGAGTGGTTGGGTGAATGGACCTTTCTTAATGGTCCATATGAATCCTGTGACACTGAATTGGTCTCTCTAGGGACGCTAGATACTATGCCAGTTATCTTAACCGTTCGTTAACCCATAATACATTTTTTATTACGTTAGAAAATAAGTAACACTTGCTTTAGCTAAATTACATTATGATATTCAGAAAAACAGTTCTTTCCTTCATTACAACATAAATAAACATAGCACGCAGTACATTTTGAGTGGGGTCTAGCTTTGGCAGAACAATTTTCACAACTTCCTCTTTCTTTTGAACTTGCGCCACGACATTTTCGTGGAAGCAGTAAATTTGAATGTTTATTTATCAGACCTGTAGCTACAGAACGACGGAAATCTGATAGAATATTGAGAAAAAACATATTGAACAAAAACTTACATTTTAGTATAACCTAAAAGTGTCAAAAAAGATGCTAATTTAAAAATTCCTGGAAGCCGTATTTATTGAAATTTAGGAATGAGACTTGTTCTAAATTAAAGCTCAAAGCTTTCTCTTTAAAATGATGTATAATAATTGTTGAGTTGGATTGGAAAAATATTGAGAAAAAAAAAGTTGAAACAAAACTTACATTTTCGTATAACCTAAGTGTCAAAAAAGATGCTAATTTAAAAATTCCTGGAAGCCTTATTTATTGAAATTAAGGAATGAGACTTATTCTAAATTAAAGCTCAAAGCTTTCTCTTTAAAATGATGTATAATAATTGTTGGGTTGGATTGGAAAAATATTGAGAAAAAAAATGTTGAAACAAAACTTACATTTTCGTATAACCTAAAAGTGTCAAAAAAGATGCTAATTTAAAAATTCCTGGAAGCCGTATTTATTGAAATTAAGGAATGTGACTTGTTCTAAATTAAAGCTCAGAGCTTTCTCTTTAAACTGATGTATAATAATTGTTGGGTTGGATTGGAAAAATATTAAGAAAAAAAATGTTGAAATAAAACTTACATTTTCGTATAACCTAAAAGTGTCAAAAAAAATGCTAATTTAAAAATTCCTGGAAGTCGTATTTATTGAAATTAAGGAATAAAACTTATTTTAAATTAAAGCTCAATGCTTTCTTTTTAAAATGATCTGTAATAATCACACCTAATAACCATTTATCAAAGAGATATCTTTTTGAACAACAAAATTCAACCCAACACCACTTTTCACTAAACTTCTAACCTCACATCTGGACGAATAAGTTTAAATATACCTAAAAGACCTACAGTGCAGATTGTGTAATTTTTTATACAGATTCTTGTATAGTAGAAAGTACCGACATATCTTATAAGATAAGGATGGATAAAATATGATATCTTTCTTTTTATACTTTAGATGTAAAATGAAGACCCCACGTATTGCGGCATTGAACACATGAATCAAAGAAGTATAAAACATCGTCCTTGCACTGATTTATACACTGACCTTTATAAAAAGAAGGAATGTAATTGACTGTTGACTGCGGGTGATTATTGAGCCCTTAGGGCCGACTCAATACTTGCTTATTTTCCATTAGTTCCATTACATGCAATTTTTGATAATAATAGAGTTGGATTTAAAATAAAATTACTTTTTTTTAACGATAAAAAAATTGAAATCGATACGAATATTTGCGGTTTTCTAAAAAATAAATTTCTAATTTTCGTAATTTTTGGTCTTTTTAAACACATGTACTTCTGTGCATGGACGAAATTGGATCCTTCGAAATGATAAATATTTATGCCCTCAGAGTTCGTGAATTAAACATGAGCACGTGACACAATGAACGTGTCCTCATTATACACGTTCGTAGTTCTTGATTTTTTTTTAGTTTTCTTGCGCGCGGCACCAGTCTCAAGTACGCTTCCCTTAAATAAAGAAAATTTATTTAAATATACGAGAGGAACGCGGTTGTCGAGCGACGTTCTGACCCCGCTAAAGGAAGACCACCTTTACAAATTTACAAATCCGCCGTTTATTTTCCGGGATTCAAACGAAACATGTTAACATAATGATCTCTATCGCAAGGGAAAATCAATAGATTGTTAGTTAAACGAGAATATTGTGTTACTATCTATTTTGGAATAGTTTTTTTTTAAATTCTTGATTATCCACTGTTTTCCGGTTTGAGAAAACTAAGAGTCTTCGTTCGACCATAAATCGCGCAGATACCTCAATTCACCATTAAATTACAAATTTGCACTTGGCTAAAATTTGCATTCACGCTTAACGCGTACGTGAGCGCATCGTAAAGACGCCTCGGTTCGCATAATTTACGCTTCCATCGTCATTATTTTATACCCCGGTGTAACATCAAGGGGTTATGAGTTAACGTTTTGTTTTCTCCTTCACAAACCAATAAACATATGTAAACGCAGAAAAAAATATGCATCTTTCATTTTTCTTCACAACGTATTGCACAGATACAAGTTACCTACTTTGTATATCGTGGTGATGTTCTGTCATTACAATATGTTTTTATATAAGTTTTCAAAACTTCAATCAGTAAATCGAATGTCTTATACAGGAGATTTTAATGAAATGACAAACGAAAAAACGAACGCAAATCTGAAGTATAGAAGTTCGTAAATACTGGAGGAAAAAGAAAGATATGTAGAAAGACACTGGGAAATGTTTTTGAAAAATGTAGAATCGTGTTCGTATGGGGCGCAGAAGATGTTCAGATTAAAATCATATCAAGAGAGAATGAAAACAGCAGTACAATACTATATGAGCAGACGCAGATATCTACTTAGATACAAGACCATGGTGTCACAAAACAACCATCAGGATACTTTAATCAGAGAGGAAATTTTTAGATTTCTATGGTGCACTACTAGTACTTGTGATAGTCGTTGAAGTAGTGATAGTTGCAGCTTTTACATAATTGTGTTCTGTGAATTTTTGGAGAAAATTTTGAGGTTGGGTATCTAATAGACATACATAGCACACGTTTAAAGGAGTTGGCGGAATAGTAGCAAATTGGTATCTGTCTATAAAAACCACGAAACTGTTAACTAATATCATTCATGAAAAGTGTCAAGCAATGATAGAAATTTCAAATGAACAGAAGCGATTCCAACACAATAGAAGTCTTTTGACAGAGCAAAATTAAAGAACATAGTTTATATACTAAGTACCAGATCTAGTTCTACCACCACTTGAAGAGCATCAATAGAGATTTGTGGAGGGTTACACAAAAAGGTCCATTCACGATGCCTAAAATCAGACATCTTTCTCCAAAAATCAATTTCTATAGAAGGCATCTTTCAGTTATGCAATCAGAAAAAAATATTGAGCGTCCATACTATACCTGACTCTAAGTTGCAAGTACCAAAATGACAACAATAGCAAATAGGCAAATAATGGCAAAGAAAAGGTTTGGAAATAAGTTTATCAACTTACAACCAAAATCTCTCATAATAAATAGTCTCCGTTGAATTATGTTTCTAACGAGTGAAGACTCGTCGAGATGTTTACACATCTAACCCAATGATGTATAATTGTACAGCAACCAGATTTTAAGTAGTATTAACATAGGTACGTCGTACACCTAAGTACTTCTATCATTTTACCTCGACCTTTATCTAATATTCAATAAGCAAAAATTGATAAATATGCGTACAACACAAAGGAAACAAAGAGAAAGAACGTTCTAATTAATATTTTCATAACTTTACAAAACTTCTTTTATATCTTCTTAAATATCATTATTTTGCTCGATTTTTAATTATGAGGAACAGTGACATATTTACATCTACACGTTTCCGTTCGCCGAGAAAATATAGGCAAGGCCAATCTATCCAACTCTCTCATCATCGTCACCTCTTCTTTCAATATTTAAAATAGATTGAAAAACAAAGAAAATATAACGAATCGAAATGTAGAAGAAGACAAAAAAAAAGGCAAATAAAACGCCATGAAGTAAAATACGAAGAAAACGAGCTTCGTATAATTACCGGTAAGGATTATGTTCGCAAAAGTAATTGTGTTCACCTCTATTGGGGCGCCCCATTGTTAAGCGGCCGTCCATTGATTCAAATTGATTCTGTGTGCTTCAGATGTTTCATTTCATACCAATTAAAATTCCCCGAGAAGTAGAATGCCATCTATGCACGAAGAGGGTACTTGAAGGTAGCATAGGATGCATTCCTATGTGCTCGAACGGTGATAGTTACTTGTAGATAGCGAATATATTATATAAATTATTCAAGAGGAGAAGATATTCTTAAACGCAACCCGCGTCTCTTTTAACACAAAACACTTCTTCGTACGATTTATAATAATTGTTTGTTTCCGTCATGGTCAAGACTGCGTTTTTTTTTTAATTTTATGTAATTTATTTTGTAACTTGAGGATAGTTATACAATGGGTTGTAATTTATTTTTGTGGTGTGTGTATTTCTGTTACTCAACGAGAAGCTACAACACCAGCAAGCAACACCCGCCAGTTCGTCCTTTTTATTCTGTGTAAAGTGTGGGATCGCAAACACAATCCCATGGTTAAGTAAAAAAAGCTTCATATGGCCAATTTAGTATCGTGGCGTACGGTAGCCGTGTTCCCACATATAAACGAGACAGGTCCAGAGAGAGGTTTTGCGTAATGTCACTAGACAAAGTCGGCCATATTTCTATAGGCAATGGCGTGCACGTGTAGATCACACCCAAATCAACACAATGTCTAACATTATTTAAAAGATATTTTTCAAATCTTAATATATTCTTGAATGTTTTAATTGCTTAAAAAAGTAGGAATAAAGATTTATTAAAAAAAAATATTTTTTGAAAGAAAGTGTAACGATGTTAGTTACGCCACTGGGGCACAGCTTCTCCCGATACAAATAGATGCTCTTATAGGGTCCCTGTTCTTGGGCATATCTCCGAGCGAGATATCCGAGCCGGATAAATGCGCACGGGGCAACCATCAGGATTTTACCGGTGCGCTCGTAAATTCAACATAATAAAAGATGCGACGCACATACCATTTCATACTTGTCATGTATTTCTATGGTCGCAATCAATCTAAACCTTCCGAGTTAAAATGTTTTCCCGCTCAGACCATTCTAAACAGTCCACCATCAAATATTACAGTTCATAAGTACACTTACTACATCTCTTTTTGCTATCCTCAAGTATAAAAGCAATCCAACCCAAATACACCTTCTTTAATTTTTTTCGTCGACTCTCAACATTTTCCAATCAGAAAGTTTTTAGATCATCTTATTATTTTTTTTTTCGTAGTAGAAATTTATGTCTTCTTAATTGAACTGTCAGGTATTATGACAACATTGAATATGTCGATTGGATAACGAGTGGTAGAGAATCAAGTCAAGTTGCGTAACGGCATAATATCGTATATAACGATACAATTTACATAATTTCCAGATTCTCTGCCCGTCAATCCGTTTGATATTTATTAAAAAGCTTATAACTCTTGTTCTTGTTACAAAATCGTAACAATAACTTTACTAACAATAATGGAATGATGATAAATTTACGCTAAACGCGACAAGATTTCACTTTCATCGGTTTGCCTCTCCCAATAAACCAACAAATCGTTAACCAACATGTTTCGCGGGCACATTTTTCACAACACCCGTCGTTGTTTATCACTTTGTTCATCTCGGCCGGTTCGTTCTTGCGACGACGGCAGCAAAACCACTCTTCGCGTTATGTGAAAGTCGGAAACGGTACGTATGTTCATGTTTTATCACAAAATCTATGAAATAAATCTCTTGATTTCTCACATACATTTTATCTCAACAAACAAAAACAGAAACAGAATTACAGTCAATTTCTTGTATCTTTTCAGGAAAATTCTTATGAAATATACTATGTAAATTAAAAATTAAAGTATAAAGGTCAATGAAGATTAAGAAATAGAAACATTTTAGCAGTTAAAAGTATTCAACAATGCTCCATCAAAATTTTAATGGGAAATTGTTATGTAATACTTAATTAGTAGTCATTTTAGTGTCTACAAAAATAAGCTTACTTCTTCTTCTTAAAGTGCCATGCAGATTCCTGGCACGGCGCTTCCAGGATATATAGTGAGGTTAAGGTGGATTTCATAAGGGTGGAGGCTGGGTGAAGAGCAGTAAAATACGAGAAAAGGATAGAAGGAAGGCCGCATTGCAGGATCCTGGGAAAGTGCTGGAGGGAAATCAAGGAGAGGAAGTTGATATATGGGGAGGGAGATAGGGAAGGATATTATAGGAGAGTGGGATATTCAATAACTGGGATCGGCAATAGAAGAGTGGAGAGAGGTGAAATGTAGAGAGAACTGAGGCATAGGGACATACAGAGGCAGGAGAGAAGATCTCATATACGAGAAGGAAGAAATAATGTAAAGTATGGGGAGATAGTGATCGAGGAACTACCAAAGTATCTGTTGATGGAAGGGGACGAGGAAGGAAAGAGATTGGTGGCTACATTCCGCTGTGGCAATGAAGAGAGGGGACAGGTACTGCGCGGACGATGTGGAGAGGATTATGAGACGCTGGAACACATGTTGAAAGGGCGAGCTGAAGGAGGAAAAATATGTGTAATGTACCTTAGCTGATATTCTCCAGTGATGCAGTGGGTTGGTACTAGGTCTGGTAATACCTTAGTTATATCTTAGCAGCATCTTTTTTTAGCCAGATAAAAGTTAAGCATTACATTTTCCAATAAAACACAAGACCAACTGCGGTTGTGACCAAACAATTTCAGAAACGAATAATCCCTAATAACACTTGATATAGTTGATATGCAATACTTTCGTGAGATTGTAAGCTTTAATAGTATTACGCCATCACGTGTTAACGCACTGGATGCCTTCAGCGTACAACCTATTTGTGTCCTATAGCTTTGTTTCGAAAGTGTCTTCACCAGTGTGTATCTAATCTTCAGCAAATAGTAGTCTTTTATAAGCAGTATCCAGACTTCTGCACGCCGTACTAGACTTCTATCAGTACAATCTAGTCAGAAGCAATCTTCTTTATAGACATTTATTAGCACTATTTAGTCTTTCTATTTAGTCTATACAAGCAGTAGGCAGTTTTGTGCAACATTATGTTGTCTTTTATAAACAGTAACCAGTTTTCTGCACGATTTTTACCAGTAATATCTAGTTTTCTGCAAACTAAAGGTAGTCTTCTTTAACGATAAGGAGTTGTGAACTTGTGCCGGTTTGTCCTCTTAAAAAATCTTCGATGAAAATTTGATTTTTTATGATTAACACTAAAAAATACAATTAAATTATTATACAAACAGTTATTAATGTTATTATTATACAATTAATAACTTTTATTAAATTTAATTTAAAAGTGACATTTAATTTTCTTTCCGGTAGCGACATCTAAAAGTAGTAATCAAAAGTTTAATAAAACATTTCTTATTTTATGTATTTAATTTCAATCTTTTATTTATTTCAATTTTTTGAAAAACCTAATTAAAGAAACCGTATATTTTACGATAAATTATCTGTACTATTTAAATTAATTTTAGATGTTTTATCCCAATCATTTGGTATCTTAATTTCTCTTCGGTTGGCACAGGTTGGCATACCTGTTATTTATCCCTACCATTTTGTAAACACGCACAAAAATATGTGCATTTACACGGTGTCTACGTTTGAATGTTGGTTAACTTCAAGATAATTTTTTAAGTTATGATTTATAGAATTTTATATTTATTTAATAAGTAAACATTATGAGTGCTTCAGAACAAGAAGAGTCCGAATATTATTCTTGTCCCATTGTTGAAGGATTTGATTTTGGAACTGCTTTACAAAATGTGTATCCTATATTAAGTATAATTTTTCGTGGTTTACCTGCTAAAGATTTAAATAACGCTGCTCAAATAAGTGAAGTTTGGGCTGAATACGCTCAAAAAGAATTAACAAGTAGAAGATATCATGGTCAATTTCATGTTATTCAAACAGGTCCTTCTAAGTTTCGATTGGAAACAAGTCCTAATTTCAATCTTGTTAATGGCGAATGTACGATTATATTTGGCACGACAAAATTAAAACGGTATACTCGAAAATTAAGCATGAATAGAAAGGTACCATTATTTATGGATATTACACAAGATAAAGAGTTAGATTTGGCGCATCTAAAAGGATATGGGTATCTTGTTCATAAAATGTTTCCATTAGAGAGTAAATAAAATGAATATAATAAGAAAGTTTTATGAAAATTAGAACTTTTTAGGACGTGTTGTCGGGCATGGATTTGTTGTACCAAAAATTGATAATTTAACAGTAGAATTATATACAAATGGTTTTGAGAAAGATATTTCAAAAGTAATTGAAAAAGGTTTAAAAGTAAGAGCAATGATGTACTTATGCAGTCGGCGTAGTATTAATGGTACAAATCCTGGGCAGAATTTAACAGAAATTTTGAAACATCAAAATTATAAAAAGTTCCCATTAGCTGGAGGTTATGTTATGGAAGCCATGGATGAAACTTATGCTTTATCTCGAGCAACTCATAGATACTTGATTCCATCACATTATGCTTTATTATTTTTAACTCCACCAGATAACACAACATTTGAGGCATATTCTATTTTAATTATTGATGAATCTCATACAGTCGAAATGTTACAAAAGGTACAGTAAAACTTCGATATAATTTCGAAGTTTCATGATTTTATTTGTGGTTATCTCTATATAATTTTTTAAGGTTAAACCAAATATAATTTTAAAAAGTCATTCAATTGCTTATATTTTTCAATGTATAAAAATACGTGTTATTGATTCTGCGAGGGAGTTTAATCTTGTTTTTCCAACAGTTGATTGTACTGTTGTTAATTGTGAGGGTGAAATTGGATGGAGCAGTCATGGTAAGCTTCAAAGATTAATATATTAAGCACAAAATATTTATTGTTACTTTTAAAGGTGTTTTTAGCGAAGATGATTACAATCCTAAGAAAAAGTTGAAATACTTTCCAGTTTCGCATACTTTCAGTATTACTATATTAATTTTAACTTGGGATTAATTATTAAGTTTCCTACTTGGGTTTTTATTCAAAAGCAATTATAAAATTATTTATGATTTTATTTAAGAGGTAATAAAACAAGCAATAGAGAATAAATGTTTAAAATTACTTTCTTTTTATAAAGTCTGAGTCATTTCCAATTCATTTTATCACCGTATTAAGTTCGACCATAAAAAATTCCGAAGTAAAGTTTCATGTTGATGGTTTTTTTTGCAACTTTATTACTGTTTTTGCAAGCATGATAAAATTGTTTAGATTCTTAAGAGATTACTAATGTTATTGATATCCCAAAATGTGTGATAATAAATAAATGAGAACAATAGAATATACTCATATGTGACTTAACCTGAAGAATGTTATAAAATAGTTACTTTCATAAATTCATATTTTTTAATGATGTAATAACTATATACAGTATAAGCTCCATAATATGGGTCCATCAAATTTCTGGCAGTGATGAGTTACCAAAGGTGCTGTAAAAGAAGACACAAACAAAATAAATTCAATACTGTATTATTTATAGTTTATTATTAGGAAGTAAATGTAATAGATAATAATTGATATTAAAAAAAGTGACTCCCTCTGTCCCATAATAAGGATCTGTTTTAAAATAAATATAATAAAAAACCTGCATTTCGTGCATGTTTTAATAAATTTCCCAATATGAGGCAAACTACAATAAATAGGTGTAGGAATGTTTACAGATATTTTGTAGAGAATTAAATTCCCTTTCTGATAGGCTAACAAAATATCCTTATTTTAAAATTTCTACTATCTCGCCATTGAATATGGAGAAACAATAATTCAATTTTTGACCATCCTGTATAAGATACACTGATACAACAAATGACGATCCATTTGATAGCATCTGAAGAGTAATCGCGCAAATTTAGAGCTTTTTTGAATGAACGTTGGCTGAGATATGGGATTTTAAAGGGCATGGTGATATTTACCAAAATAACTCGAAAACGAAAAACGATAGGTACCAATAACTTTTATGAAAGTCAATATATTTTTTTATGTGCAATTAAAAGGTTGAATGAAAACTATAACATTCTATTTAAAATAACGAAGTTATGGTCTACTTCCGGTAGACCGAAAGTAATGGCCATCTTGAAAATGTTTTAGATCGAAAGTTCCGAATGAACAACCCATGCTACCAAAATTTCAAATCTCTACGAATAGTGCAACCTGAAAAAGTTCTAACGAATCAGTTACGTTAGACAGCCTGTATATAAAACTGGGTCTACACTGGTCCGTTTTTCGTTTTGACACTTTTCCTTTGAACTGATGTGCTAGTCCGCATATTGTGTGGAGCTAGCCTAATAATAACGGGAATGTTACTTAAGTTTTTGAGAAAAATAATAACGTCAGGCGTAGTAACTAACAGAACTAACGTAATAATATACAAAACGCTTATAAGACCAGTCCTCACGTATGCATCAGAAACATGGACTGCTTTGAAAGAAAGATATTCCGGCACATATGCAGGGGTGTTCAGAAAAGCGAAATATAGAGAAGTCATTACAATTTTGTGTTGTGTGTCCATTGTGTCTTCCATCAAAATCAATAGATTAAGGTGACTCGGCCATTTGGAAAGGATGGATGACAGGGAAGCCTCAAAGCAAATGTTCCGCCAAACAAATTTAGAACCCACAAGAGAGGCAGGTCTAGATATAAGGACCAGGTGGAAGTAAGTCTAAGAACGCTGCGAGTTAGAAACTGAAAGGCCAAGGCACGAGATAAAAGAGAGTGGAAGCTGATCCTAGAACAGGCCAAGACCCATCATGGGTTGTGGTGCCAATGATGATGATGATGCTGTTACTTGGTAATCTTTACCTGAACCGCTGCGACGAGGTTCCTATCACATTTAAGGCAAAAGTGGTAACTGTCCTAGTCGAACCATTTACCTTCATGATTTCTATCATGCATTGCTGATGTCATAAGAAGACCTCTTTTAATGTATCACGACTCAGTTAATTAAAGACGTCAGCGACGGAATGAATAAGTTGATCGATTTTGAAAACATCAGTTTGGTACTGAAATGTCTGTATGGCATTGAAAAAACCGAGATGTTATTAGATCGAGGTTATTTAGCTTTAATTGTAGGCAGAAATGTATCCACTATCATGTTTCTGTATTCACTCTTAATCACAGAGTCAATAACCTTCGCCTCCAGACTCCCAGCTGGACGATTTTTATTTCTACGTTTGGCTAGTTTAACAAGATCTATGGATATTGATTGCCGAATATCGCAGCGTCAATTTGAAGATTGGAGGAAAACTTTTCTAGATTATTATCGTTTTATTACTTCATCCGCAGTCATTTAGTTCGCTGTCCGGTTCCTTCCCAAACCACCTTTCAATATCTTGCTCTGTGAAGTTTGATTTTATAGCATCTTCAGCTCTGCAATTAAAACTCGGCCTCTAAGTACCATTTAACTTCTACTTCATTGCACTATTCCAAGCTTCAGTCACGGCAAATATGTCACCTTTTAAGTTCATGTCTTTTAACGCTTTAGTGACATCATCTTCTCACAAAGCTGCATTCACCAGAATTTTTTGTAATTAGTCTTTATCGTCTGATCAGCGTCTTTTAAGCTAAAATTGTTATTTTGCCCCATGTTGTTGGCGTTATTTAAAATAAGTAGCGCTTTGGGCAGAAGATACTTGCTTTTAGAGGCACTTAGGTTAGACATTTTATTTTTGGTTTTTGTATATGAGTAGAAGATCAACATTTTCAAATACTGTAAGTGATCTTGCTTGCACTATAAATAAAAACTTATGTTTGTATGTATCATTAAGATAATAGTAATTCTCTTTTTCAACACTTTTCTGTCTGGTGTTTTTTTTTCTTCTCTGGACAGGTGTTTATTGTTTAAAAACTTTGCAAAGCAATCTATTTTCATCAGCAATTAATTTTTTTCTTGTTCCAAAACAGCGTCCATTTGAAGATTGCAGGCAAACATTTCAATTTTCTCTAAAACCAAGAATTTTGTAAAACCACTTTGGTTACACATTTTAGTTTTTGTATACGAGCAGAACAATCTCATTAGCATTTAATTTTTTTCCTATGTCTAAAGCAGCCGTGCTTGTTATGGTCAATATTCTAATTCAAATTTCTTTAGGAATAATATACATGATATAAATTGAGGTTAAGAATGTACAAAATCAATACAAAAGTCATTTCCTATTTGTGCATTCTTTACATTCATTCTTCTTCAAATAAACAAAGATTTATCGTGTGCACGAGAATAAATATTGACCACCTTAAGGAATTTAGTATAAATTCTTCCATTCTCTACTAAAATAAAAAATTTTAATTCTTTTATTACATTTATTTGTGTTGAAATAGAAGTAAATGTGTAATATATCGATTACTCAACTCGAATCATCACTTTTTTGCGATGCGGTAGTGTAACGTCCAAAGAATCTAAACTTACTTCCTTATCAGCTGTTTGTCCGTCTTAAGACAAAGAACCCAACTCGAATTTCATCAGTTATTCGCCGGTTATCGCTGTTTAAGCAGCAATTGGAACAACGTCAGGATTTATTATCAAACTATATAATTATTAAAACTAAATCTTTAACATAAAGAACAGAAATGATTTTGAAATCATTTAGTGTCTTTCTAATTTTATTATTTTTGCAGCCTCATTTAGGTAAGTTAATTTTTCTTTCTTAGAGAAAAACAAGAACATTTATTTAAGTAATATTTTACTTTATCATTACAGCTTTAATTTTCATTAAAAAACCGATTGAATGGAGCACCACTTATACAGCAAAAGGAACACTTTATATTCCTTATGCAGAAATAGAAGAACCTTTTTACGCTTGGTAAGTATAGTTGAAAACAATAATATTTTTAAATTTATCAGTTCAACTTTGATAAAGTGTTGATAACTTATAAATAAATTTGAGATGTTAAAAAGGTCAATGATTGATTAATTCTGTATTAAAAAACATTATTTAGGTTTGATTCATCTTCCGGTCAATCTAGAATCGATTATTATGGTGGAATGGTGAAAACATATCAACTTTCAACATATAAACCATACGGAACCAGTTTAAAGATAGCTCCAGTTACTACAGAAGAAAAAACTAACACTAATACTTGTTTACAAGTTAATGGAACGAAAGATTATCAAATCGAACAGCAAACAATTTTGCCTGATCTTACAGGATTTAGTTATTTAGGTTGTTTTATTTAAAAATTAAAGCAAACAAATATAAATTGATTATTTATTTTTAGGTGATGAAGTAATAAATGGGCAAAACACACAAAAATGGCAATTAGTTCAAAGTATTGGCCAAAAAAGTAATAAATACACAATTTGGTTAACATTCAAAAATGATTTTCGCAAAAAAACTGTAAAATATGCTGTTCCAATTAAATATGAAATGAAGGGCTTTAATTCTTTGTTAGGTAGCCATTATGATCATTACTATTTAGAATATTCTTACTTCGACATTAGTCCAATTGCTCCAGAAACCTTTGAACTTGAAGAAGGTAAGACAAAAAAGAAATTAATTTTTTTAATTATTAAGATATCTTAAAGTTCTTTTATTATCAACCAATTGTCAACTGCTACAGCAAGGTTCATTTGAAAAATTGATATTAGCATTTATAAAAATGACACATTGAAACTGAATGAAATTTGCTTTAAATTGCATTTTATTTCATCCTGATATCTCATCTACTTTTTAAGATATGATTTTTTTAATTTGCTTATTATTAATCGAACAGAGTTGTATTAAAAAAATTATAACGACGAGATTGTAGGAGTAGGACTATAATCTTTGACAGATTAAGTAAAAGATAAATTTGCTTTAAAATGCTTTTCATTTCATTGAGATATCTCAAATAGTTTTTGAGATATGATGGTTTAAAATTCTTTTATCATCAAGCTATCCTTAATTACCACAGCGAGGTTCATTTAAAAAATTCATATCATCTGAATTTATAAAAATGAAGAAGTTGTACTTTACACATTGAAACTAAATGAAATTTGCTTTAAATTGCATTTTATTCCATCTTGATATCTCATCTACTTTTTGAAATATGATGTTTTATAAATTTTCTTATTATTAACCGAACAGAGTTGTATTAAAAAAATCAAAACGACTAGATTTGTAGGAGTAGGAAAATAATTTTTGGCAGAATAAGTAATAGATAAATTTGCATGAAAATGCTTTTATCATATATTTATATATCATATATATATATATCATATATATATCATATCATTTATTTAATTCTTTTATCATCAACATATCCTTCATCACTACAGCGAGGTTCATTTAAAAAATTCGTATCATCAGCGTTTATAAAAATGAAAAAATTGTACTTTACACATTGAAACTAAATGAAATTTGCTTTAAATTGCATTTTATTCCATCTTGATATCTCATCTACTTTTTGAGATATGATTTTTTTAAATTTACTTATTATTAACCGAACAGACTTGTATTAAAAAAATCATAACGACGAGATTTGTATTAGTAGGAAAATAATTTTTGACAATTTAAGTAATAAATAAATTTGCTTTAAAATGCTTCTCATTTCGTTGAGATATCTCAATTAGCTTCTGAGATATGATGGTTTAAAATTCTTTTATCATTAAGCTATCCTTAACTACTATAGCGACGTTCATTTAAAAAATTCGTATCAACGACATTTATAAAAATAAAGAAGTTATACTTTACATATCGAAACTAAATGAAATTTGCTTTAAATTGCATTTTATTTCATCTTGATATCTCATCTACTTTTTGAGATATGATTTTTTTAAATTTACTTATTATTAACCGAACAGACTTGTATTAAAAAAATCATAACGACGAAACTTGTAGGAGTAGGAAAATAATTTTTGACAATTTAAGTAATAAATAAATTTGCTTTAAAATGCTTCTCATTTCATTGAGATATCTCAAATGGTTTTTGAGATATGATGGTTTAAAATTCTTTTATCATCAGGCTATCCTTAACTACTCCAGTGAGGTTCATTTCAAAAATTCGTATCATCAGCGTTTATAAAAATGAAAAAATTGTACTTTACACATTGAAACTAAATGAAATTTGCTTTAAATTGCATTTTATTTCATCCTGATATCTCATCTACTTTTTGAGATATGATTTTTTTAAATTTGCTTATTATTAACCGAATATAGTTGTATTAAAAAAATCATTACGACGAGATTTGTAGGAGTAGGAAAATAATTTTTGACAGGTTAAGTAATAGATAAATTTGCTTTAAAATGCTTTTCATTTCGTTGAGATATCTCAAATAGTTTTTGAGATATGATGGTTTAAAATTCTTTTATCATCAAGCTATCCTAACTACCACAGTGAGGTTCATTTCAAAAAATTTATTATTAAATAAAAAATTTTTGTTATTTAAAGATATGACATGCAGTTCATTTCCGGGACCTGGCGATAAACACATCTACACATTCAACCCAATTAAAGAATTTATCCATCCAGCTCACTCTTACGATAATTATTTAGACAACGAATTCCAACGTTTCACTAATAAACACGCAAAATCTTACTCCGATCATAAAGAACATATACGCCGAAAAGAAATTTTTAGACAAAACATTCGATTTATCCACTCAACAAACCGAAAAAGCCGTTCGTTTACGTTAACCGTAAATCATCTTGCTGATAAAACTGAAACGGAATTAAAAGCTTTACGTGGAAAACAATATTCGAATGTTTACAATGGTGGTTCACCGTTTCCAAAAATCGAAAATCGCCTTTCTTTACCAACTCAATTTGATTGGAGAATTTTTGGGGCTGTTACTCCAGTTAAAGATCAATCGGTTTGTGGAAGTTGTTGGTCTTTTGGTACAATTGGAGCTGTTGAAGGAGCACTCTTCTTGAAAACGAAGAATTTAGTACGGTTATCCCAACAAGCTTTAATTGATTGTTCATGGGGGTAACATAAATTTTTTTTGGTTTAAGAAATTTGGATGATTTAATATTTTTTTAGGTATGGTAATAATGGCTGTGATGGTGGTGAAGATTTTAGAGCTTACCAATGGATGTTAAAACATGGCGGGGTGCCTACTGAAGAAGATTATGGACCTTATTTGGGACAGGTAACTTAAAAATAAAAAAAAAATTCTTGTGGAAACTAGGAATAATATTTTTTTAAGGATGGTTATTGTCATATTGATAGTGTAACTCCAGTAGCAAAAATAACAGGTTACGTTAATGTAACATCAAATGATCCAATTGCATTAAAAACTGCAATTGTTAAATATGGACCAATAAGTGTTGCAATTGATGCGAGTCACAAGATGTTTAGTTTTTATTCAAACGGTGTTTATTATGACGAATCTTGGTATGATGAAATCACCAAAAAGTTGAGAAATAATTTGTTTATGATTGTTGTTTTTAGTGGTAATAAATTGGAAGATTTGGATCATGCTGTTCTTGCGGTTGGTTATGGAACAATTAATGGTGAAGATTATTGGTTAATTAAGAATAGTTGGTCGAATTATTGGGGTAATGATGGTTATATATTGATGTCAGCTAAGAATAATAATTGTGGAGTTATGACAACGCCAACTTTTGTTACTATGTAATTGTTAATACGAAACAAATTTTTACATTAAGTTTTTAAAAATTAAATATCAATAATTGCTTTCTAAATAAATAGTGTTGAAAAAAAAACCTGTTATTTACATTATTGTTATAACAAATACCAAATATATATTTTAACACTCCACCTCTCCAGGAACTATCCAAGGTGAAGAAATCCCTTTCTCAAAGAAAACCAAATATCTAGGATTGATCATCAAAACCTTCTCATGGAATTGACATTTGCAGGTAGTTTTACACAAAGCTAGTCTTTGTGGAAAATTTGGGGCCTTACCCCTGAAAGAATGTATTGGCTAACGATCCTACTTTTCCCTTTTTGGTTTCAGTTCTTCTTGCCTCAACCTTTCCACTGGAATCCACCCTAGGAACTTGTACTCTAACTCATGATCAACTAAATCCTCTTCTAGAACTCTTCTTTGAACTCTTTTTTTTTTCTTTCATCAACTGGGACTCTACCAATTGATCCAGGACTGACTCTCGAGTTTTTCTCACAAAAATCCACAATTCCTAGGAACTCTTCCATGGAACTGCTCCAAGAAAAAAAAACTTGTTCTTCTTCCCGTCTGAGATTTTAAACCCTTGCGTTCCGAAAACTAATTACTAAACAATCGTTTCCATTGGCAGAACAACTCGGATAGTCGAAAACGTTCCGCACTAAATTAATGTAGGGGAGAAACCATTCAGCGTTTTGCAGGCATAGAATTTGAAGGGTAGTAGCCGCATCAAGACTAGAATCTTAAATTACGTCGCATCAGTTGAATAAGGACAATACGATTGAATCACAAAGATGAATTCTTAAACGCTGATTCAACAAGTTGCGATTGCCGTAGAGTAGTAGCAGCGCAGCATAGGTTCGCTTAAGAAAATCTAAGTGATGAATCAAGTTCTTTGCATCATCGCTGAACTGTAAACTAACACCACAAACACTCATGGCAAGGGATTACCAAAAACCATAATGGATGACTTATTTAGATAAATATTTAGGCACAGTTCCGAAGCACGATGAATCAATTTGTCTAAATCATAATTAATATAATTCTGAGCAGTATGCACTTGAGGAAAAATGAAGGTAAGTGTCATCAGCATACATATGCATATCGCAGTGTTAAGGGGTATCTTTCATATAATTTTTTGTTCAAAACCTTTTCTCCTCCAAGTTATAACCATCTAAAGTTAAGGGAAAAATCTGCAACTTTCTTATCCCTTGACATCTTACAACTAACAAATTGTTAGTTTGGTCACAAAAAACACAAAATAATGCTAAGATCAATTTGACATAACTTCATTTTTTTGTCTAATAATAACCAATCTCTGAATTAATTCACTTGAATTTCTTTATTTAAATCAAAATGTAGACGCATTAACGTGGCGATTCGAATCTCTTGGGTTCGTAAAATTGATACAAAAATCGGTTTAGTTCCGCTATTGATTAAGAGAAGTCGCAGTATACTTCATTTCAACGATATTCATGCATTATTATTTTTCGTACCTATCTATTACACGATATGAATAAAAAAATTTGAAGGAAAATAGTTAAGTATATATTAATGTTGACTGTATTTATTTTGATTGTAAATATTTTATTATTACTTATCTTATTTATTTATTTTGTTTTTGACCGTAAGAACGTAAAAAACTTTGTTTTATTTATGATATTTCAGAAATATATATGACAACAAGGTTCCTTATACCTATTATTGCGTGGTTCTTTGGTAAGGTGTTGTTTTGTGTGATATTTGCTGCTATTTTTATTGTTATTTTTTGAATATTTATCTTGTTATCTATTTTGTTATTGACTTTTAGTGTAATGTTGGTGCGTGAGAGTGAGTTTTTCCATGGACCACCCCGTGAAACCATAAATCTATTAGGACTATAAAATTAATAGAACTTTCTTGTATTTTTAAGAGTATTTTCGTAATGACGGTCATAAACTCCTCAAAATTATGAACCAAGGGGATGAACTCTTCAAGTGGTTCAAAAAAAAACACACAAATCAGTTGCCAATCAAACGAATAACAAAGCAGAGCTACATGTCCCTACTAGCTAAGCTAAACTGTGGAAAAAGATTAAACTTAACGCAGAGAGGTTCGTTTCAGACGCGTGCTTATGTGACAGGACTTCATTAAATTTATAACTAATTTAAAGTAATTGATTTAAATACACGCGAATTACTGTAACAAATGTACACTGTGTTAATTAATTATAGTAACCCACGTGAGCCGTGTCATATTGGCTGCATATCTCAATATGTAGTGGTAGCTCGGATAATTTTAAATTAGTAACCACATCGATTTTATGTCGATGAGTAACCAGATGTTGACAGCTGATCGTACGTTATTGTTGTGATTGTCGTACGCTTTGCGAGTTTTCGTATTTTCTTTATTCTTTAACCGTTTTTTGCTGTCTTTATATTTTTCTAAATAGTTCTTTTTAGAACTATTGTTGTTTCTAGCGGTTGGTTTAAGCGGAAAGTCAATAAACAAATCAAAATAACCACTACTTTCAACATTAATGTCAATCTACAATGGGTATACTAAAAATTATTTTAAATAAAAGGACAGAAAGTTAGACTTTTTTTTATATTTAAAATATTTTTTTAATAATTAATATATAATCTAAATAATCTGTGATATTGGTTGCATACTTTACAGGGTACGATAATTAATTAACACACTGTACATTAATACACAGATGATTCAAAAAACCGCTGACAGACTTTTAAAGCAGATAATACATGAAAAATTAAGATGAACAGTCTTAATATACATAGGCTAGTAAATGCCTTCTTAATGAGATATAGTGGGTCAAAGTTTCTTTAAAATAAAACATTATCTGCAATAAAAAGGCCTTTTTTAAGTGGATCTATTAAATAAAAACAATTTTTCCCCTAACTTTAGAATGCTGTAACTCGATGGGGAAGTTATATGAACCTTTAATTTTTGCTCCTTGAAAACTTTCGTATCAATTTAGAAACATTCTGTATAATTTATGTAATGTAATGTAGTTAGATAATGTTGATAGATGTTACTGATACAGATTTTGACAAAAAGGCGAAAATATGACGACCTGGAGTGGCACTAGAAAACAAAGTATGTTTAAAACGTTACAATAAAAGAAATAACATTATTAACTTAATTTGAAATTCAAAATATTGAGTGACAAAGAATCGATAGCGCCATCTATTATTACGAAGTTAAACTAAGTTGAATTTAATCGAGTTATGAACCAAAGTAACATTGGCAAAGTTATAAATTTAAATAATTTAAAACTTAAATGAGGTTAACTTCGATTTCAACTAAAATCGAAACTTTCTCTGGTCACTTTTCACCCAAAAACCTCATTTTTCAAAAACGATAAATAAAACGCCAATAAACATATAAATTAACCACTTTATTAATATCTACAAGTTAAAAACAATTTTACAACCTTTACAGCTTGCTTTTACATAATTCTTAAAAAATAACGTTTTATAATAAAATTAATTATCTTTGTGTAATACGTGTTCTTTTCTTTTTAATTTGTTGCTATGTTTTTTTTAAACATTTCCGTTTAAAATTTGTCCAGAAAATCTTTTATACGTCCTTCTATGCATATCATCGATTCTGTCAAGATAAAATGTGCCTTCAAATAGTTGCGAGATGTCTCCTTGAGGCTCATAAGGAGCTTTATGGCAATTTTCTTCGCGTAATTGTAAAATAGCGCTAAATTTTTCTGGCGAAACGCAGATACGTTTATTGTCTAAAGTATCTCTAATCGGTTTTAAATTATCTACAATTCGTTTTAAAGCGTCGGGATTGTTCTTGACTGTAATTGAAAACATCGAAGACGCTAAACCCGATCCGTAACTAAACAAACCTATTTTATTACCAGATAATTCTTCGGGCGTTTTTGAGATTAATAATGAAACTAATCCGCAATAAATAGATGGGGTGTACATATTTCCTACTTGATTAGCTATATAAAGCGAAGGTTTCGTTTTTGATTCGAAAATCTGTTTTGTATACGTCATAAAACTTTGTTCAATTTCGCGATTAAAATAAGTCTCGTTTAATTTAACATCTTTAAATTGCGAGAAATCGTTATATTTAGATTGATCTGGATTTTTTATGAAATCATTTAACGCCAAACGTGCTAAAGATTTTTGAACCAACTTACAATAAGGAGTATGAAATAAAATCGCGTCAAAGTAATCTAAATTGACCTCATTACCTTTTAACCCCATCTTTTTACAATAACCCGAATAACAATTATCCAAAGCATCTAAATAACATTGAATCGACAATTTCCCATCAACTTTTGGATATTCAGAACAAAAATCTGGTTTATAAAAATCATAAGCATGTCTCATATAACTCGCTCTAATTCCTCTATCAAAAACCAAAGGGGCGTTTGGTCCAATTAACATTGCCATAGCTCCTGCACCTCCTGTTGGTCTTGCTGAGCCCTTTGCATAAACAGCAATATCTCCAGCAACAACCAAAGCATACCTTCCATCCCAAGCTGAACTTTCCACCCAAGATATTGAGTTGAATAATGCTGATGTACCTCCATAACATGCATTTGTGGTGTCTACACCTTCGACGTCAAAGCAACCTTCTTTTTCAAATAGCTCCATCAATACGGATTTAACACTTTTTGATTTATCAACTATAGTCTCCGTACCCACCTCCAAACGACCAATTTCACTAAATTTAACTTCATATTTTTCAATTAAACGTTGTACAACGGTCATACACATTGAATTGATGTCTTCGCGGTCTGTACAGAAACCCATGCGGCTTTGGCCGAGTCCCACGGTGTATTTACCGGCAGAAACGCCATCGAATGCTTCCAATTCAGTTTGGTCCACGTAAAGTGAAGGAAAGATGAGTTCTATTGCTAAAATACCGACATTTTCTGGCCAAGACATGATGATTTTATAATTAATTTAGATAGGTTATGTAAAATTAACTCAAAAAAATTAAGGTAAGAAACGATTTTGTGGTGACTTTCGAGGAGAAACTGAAAGGAATTTGGTGAGTACGTTCGTTTTGTAGTGTCCCTACCACTTTTTATCTTCAAACATAACCTCAAAAAGTGAATTGTAATTAATGCTAATGTTGAATGTAGATGGCGCTTCATTTTGGTTATATTTAATATTTTTTAATATTTAATTATTGTTTAATTTTAATCGTTTCTTAATTATAACCTACTTATTTATTATAATCAATTTATTTTCAATATTAGTTAAAATTAATAATTATAATTTTGAATTATCGGCGCTAATTTCACGCTAATCTCAAAGAGAATTAATTTAACAATTTTATATTTAAACGTATTGTTAAATGTAATTGTTAAATAAAAACTGCCCCTCGGTTGTATTACATTTTGCCATTAAAATAGACCTTGAATTTCAAAAAAATAATGTATGCACTCGAAAACAGAAATGAAAAAATGTTTAATGCAACGAATGTCAATATAAATGGCAAGTTATTGTTATGGAAAAGGAATAAAATAGAAAAATAAATGTTGCAAAATAATAGCAGGTTTATTAATGAATTTGTAAAACACCCAGATATCTAACACACACATTGATTACATATCCGCGTTCTACTGAAAATAGAAAGTAACTTTCACGAGTCTTATGTCTCTGAATTTCACTTTCTTTTATCATCATCAGGTGCTGCAATAATAGTAAAGAAAAATAACAATAATAATAATACTATATTAAAACAATAATTCGAGAAATCACAGAAAAGAAAACAATAATAAAAGAAATATTGAAAAGAAAGTTTTTTTACATCATCTGGTTTATTTTCTTTCTAAAATGATGTTTTAGGGTAAGGTAAATATTTAAGTTTACCTAACATTGAAACGTTCCCGGAAATTTCTAAACGTCTAAGAGTTGGTTTGTTTTTAAACAAAAATGTTTAATAAATAATGGAAAATCCTGTCTATATTAATTGCTATTAATTTGTTTGATTCGATGAAATTACAAAAATACTTCAAAGTGAGTAATAATCATTGAAATTTTTATTTTTAGCATTGAAAAGGTGACCTATGCCATTATTACCATAATAATAAACAAAGAAAGTTTTAACATATACCTTTCAATATTTTTTTTAACAAAATGGTTAAAATAATATTTTTTTAAACTGGATATACTTTACTAAAAAAGTGAAGATTTATGCAGCGTTCAAAGTTCAAGAAGAACATTGATAAAAACCAAAAAAGATTAAGATAACAAAACGTATTATTGGTTTTATAACTTGGGTTTATCTTAATATTATCTGATTATATGGTTTGAACAAAATTTAGGTGTACCATTTTTAGCGACATCTGTTTATAAAAAAGTTAAATTAGTATTCAACGTTTATAGATTTCTTTTTAATACGAAACCAGCAATAAATCTAATTTCCATATTTTTCTTGATTGTTGCTCACATTTCTATTATTTATTCATGTTAATCACATTAAAACGGTAATCGAATCACTCATCCTACATGAAATTATTTAATCCATTTATTTCAGCCTATTCTCTGATTATATGACCGGCTTACTTTTTCCAATTTTTACTGGTAACATTTTGGATTGCGTCTAATAAAGATTTTTTAACATCTATCAATTTAAATGTTTTATTTTTAGAATCCACCTCATTTTTTATTAGAGCCTATATCAACTCAATTGGATCTAACTCCGTATGTTTGGTGGTAGCTCAAATCACATCATGTTTTCTTTATATAAAATTTATTTTATAACAAGTAAACTTTGTATTGCTTTCTTAGTTGATGATGCAGTTGGTATTTTCAATCTTACGACTGGGTATAATTTATTATCCATTTTAATAACAAGTGATTTTTCTAATAAATTTGAAACCATTCTTCAATTACTTTCGCATTCATTTTTTCATGACCCAATTCGGAACCAAATCTCCAGTTATTAGCTTAGGACTCCAGTATTCTTATATTCTTTAATCACACTGTACACTGTTGATTTTGTAACTCCTACATATATAAAGTATTATTATTTAGTTGGACGTAAGTCTCAACTGATTTCAATCAATTAAATTGAAGTATTGCACACAAAAAGGTTTAGAATGCAAAAAACTAGTTGAACATAAAGAGATATACAACTTTTCAGTACATTATCTTTAGATACGAATTGAATTATTCCAAAACTTCATGAACAAATCATGCCCACAAGATTTTCTTTTAATAATTCCCTTTCTAGAAGCTTGAAATAAAGAAGAATTAAACAATGATGAATAAGTTATATATATTTACACTAATCATTCAAGTTAAGAATGCATTTGCTACTGTTAGCCAGAAAATTTGTTTTAAATAATTAAAAAGAAATAAAGGTGTTTTAGATTCATTAATTTTTATTTCGTCAATAAAATTTTCGATATAACAAAATTTATAAAAGTATAAAACTACCTTTCTTTGTATAAATTACATATAAATTATTGCAACTTTATATACTTTGTAATAATAATTGTACATTATTTCGTTAAAACCTTTTTCTAATCAATATCATTAGGATATAACTGCCTTTCGCCTTCATGTAAAAATATTTGTAAAGCTTTATATAATAAAAACACTCCAAAAACACACTTTTGTTGTTGATTCCACGTAGCTGCAACCCCATAATAATCCCCATACTTCTTATTCGTTACATTTTCCAGTTTTAAGGCATGTATCATCGCCGCTTCACGCGTGTATGCTTCGACCGGTATCGTATTTTGAAATAAATGTAAACAAATCACCCCGTATTTATCGCTCCAAATATTTCTTATTCTTTTCAATTTTTCACAGTCTGTTTCAACATCTTTATTATAAGTTCTTACGGCGGAATACAAATGAGAGTATGGTCTGGATCGTTTTCCTTTTCCTACATAAAATATTGAATCGAGAAACGTTCGCCAAATTTCACTTTTATCGAGTTTTTCGTAACGATTCGGCAAGTTTTGTGTTATTCTTGGGTCAAGAAGAAGGTAGGTGAATGAAGATTTCGTCGTTCCCTCGCGCCAGCGACGTGATGGATCCGGTGAAATAAATTGGTGTCTCATTTCATCTTCTAATTGAGAATATCGGGTTATGTTTATTGACGTTAAAGGATCTGTTAGTGTTTTTTGAAGCTCCCTTGAATAAACTATAAAAAAAATTATAATTAAATAATTATTTTGATTATTTTTGGATGTGTACTTGTTTGAAAAGATTTTGTTGAAAATCTTTTTAATTGTAAATAATTCCTTAACACGTTCATGACGTGACCTAAACTACTAGATCACATTAAAAAATGTAATCTTGTTTATTGCAAATCGCATTTATTCGTAAATAGAAAATATTATGGGAATAAATATTTGTTTAGTGACGTTGGGTGGTTGTTTTCTTGATTGGTAATTCTAAAGATAGATTCACCATGGGCTAGAACAGCTTGGTATATCATTTCAATATTGCAAAGGCCAAGGATACAATAATAAAACCAACATGTGATAATGGCTCTATAGTTCTTAAGTCTAACTTACTCACCTTTTTTATTATCATCTATATTTGCAACAACCTGCTCTGGATGTTGCTTAATATGATACAATTTCTTCAAATAGACTCTTTTAGTGGTTTTTGTAATTGGACCTGGATCAAATCCTTGTGCTTTTAACTCTTTTCTTAATACATCAGTGTCATAATCAAAAGTTTTTGGAAGTGAAATTTGAGATAAAGTTGTAATAACACTTTCATTTCCATTTCTAATACAAAAATATATTATAAAATAAGTCTTTGATAAAAAAATTAAATACTTACGCACTAATTGTTGGTGTTAAAACCCTTTTTTCATACAAAACAACACCCTCCTCATCATCCGTATACTTATAAATTTCAGAAATACTAACAAAAGTTGCATCTATACTACTTTTTTCTGTACAAATTGATCCAATGTCGAAAATATTCCTTTCAAATTGATTTATATTTAAATCCATTGAACCATCTGTACAAGTACAATAATCGCTACTACTGTCTTTATTTGCATTTGAATTAATTAATTTCCTATCTAATTTTCTATTAAAATCATCGTCATATAAACCTCGAGTGTTTTCTTCTTCAGATTCCGGAAACGTTAAAATTCCACTTTCACGTGATGATTCTTTATAATCACAATCTATAGAAGAACACGTCGAATCAATTGGAGGTTTTCGTTTATTAAATTTAAATGAACCAGTTGATTTTTGCGAATTCTGCGACGACGATGATCCAAAATCTAATGGATCTAAATCTTGCGAATTACTATCTTGATAAGAATTTGTTGGATCCTGACTGTTACACCAAGTTTGAACGTAGTGGGAATTGTTCCGCAGTGGAATTTCTTTTAATTTTTTCATATCAACTTTTTTCGCGTTATTTGAGACGATTTCCGGTTTGTATTCGCCGATCAATTGGCCGCTATTAAGCAAAACCTTATCTGAAATGAATCATAAATTATAGATTTTTATAAAAACATTTAAATATTGAATATGTTTAAGTTTAATTTGATGTTTGACGCTTGTTAATTATGAAATAATAAGCAATTAAATAACAGATAAGAGTATAAAAATATGCTTTTTTTTTGGTAAATAAATTTTTTAATTAGAATTTAATTATTAGAAGAGATTAATTATTTTAATATTTAATTAATGTGTAATTTTTTTTGGTTGGAAATAAGTTTAAAAGTGGGATTATTTCTAACCTACATACGAACATTGTTTTAAGACAAAGTTCCTTTCACAAGAAATCCAGTTAATTCTGGCCTGAAAAACTCAACTGATAACAACAAATTACGTAAAATACACTCTTAAATAGATGAATATAACCGGAAAGGTTACGAATAAGCGATAATCTTTATTGTTTCATTCATTTTTAATGTTTCGATTTAAAAAAATCATTATCAATTTTAATACAGTTAAACCTCGAAGAACACGGGGAAGGGAGGGTAGGCAACTACTATTTCACAGTTTCAATTAACAAATGATTAATTTATTGTATTCCTGTTTTGTAATGTTGTTAGTTTTAGACTTAAGGTTCATAACTGGAACTACTACAAACCTTTGGGTTTAGCCGTGCGTCTCTTAAGACGGCATTCAAGGTTCACAAGTATCATTGGTAAATATAAGAAAAGAGATAAAAAAAATATCATCCGTTTAGCCGTCTTGAGAGACGTGCGACGAAACCTAAATGTTTCTAGTTCTAGGTCTAATGTTAGTTATAATGACAATGGTAGGCAGCGCTAGTTAGAATAAGATATCACTATGTTGCATATTTTTATTGCACTAAAGCTAAAACTAACACTAGACCTAGAACTAGAAAGTAAAAGTAACTAGAAAGTAAGTCTGAAGACGCACGGCTAAACCCGATACTTTCTAGTTCTAGATCTAGTGTTAGTTCTAGTTTTACATTAACACTATCACTAGAACTAACGCAAGACCTAAAACTAGAATCATTCGGGTTTAGCCGTCTTAAGAGACGTGAGGCTAAATCCGAATGTTTCTAGTTTTCGGTCTAGTGTTAGTTCTAGTTTTGCACTAGAACTAACACAAGACCTAGAACTAGAATCATTCAGGTTTAGCCGTCTTGAGAGACGTGCGGCTAAACCCGAATGTTTCTAGTTCTAGGTCTAGTGTTAGTTCTAGTTTTACACTAACACTATCACTAAAACAAACACAAGACCTTGAACTAGAATCATTTGGCTTTAGCCGTCTTGAGAGACGTGCGGCTAAATCCGAATGACTCTAGTTCTAGTGCTAGTTCTAGTTTTAGTTGTTATTCAACGTTAGATTATTGTATATTGTTCATTGAACTAAAACTAGTAACAAGTAACTAGTAAACTTTCTAGTTCTAGTGTTAGTTCTAGTTTTAATTGTTATTTAGCGTTAGATTGAACACCCAGAGATTATCTATGAACATGGAATAGAGCACCTTTAGGAAATCGAAATTATCTTCATCTAATTTAACATAAACAATTTTATTAAATTAATTTTTTTGAATATTGTGCATAGTTTTGGAATAAACTTTCTTTAATTGAATAAAATGTAGTTAATTAAGAAAAATAAAAGATATTGTTGTTTGATTTTGTTATTTTACTTGATAATAATAGCGACAGCAGAAGGAAAAAAATGATTAATTGTTGTTTATATTACTTATGTTACCACTTCATGATGGTTAATTTAATGTTTCTTATTATAGAACGAGCGTAGTAAAGATATATACGACGACGAGTTTAAATCGCAAAAGAGATTTATCTTAGGGCTATTAATAAACTCCCTTATCGGACACATTAGCGTCTATCTGGACAAATTAATAGCCTCTTAACGTAAACAGAATCTTCAATTCAAATTTACAATTAATTTTTTTATCTTATTAGATAAGTAGGGAATATTGACCTATCCAAATTCTGATTAGGAAAAAATTAATAATTAAATGTTTTCGTTAAAATTTCAATTCGAAAAATTCTATTTATACGTACACAAATAAATCGTCGATAAGACGAGCGATATATGAGGCAAAAATAATGGAAAATTAAGCATCCGCTAGGACGATTTTTTTTTAACATCGAATATAAACACAGCGATAAGAATTTGCCGAAATCAAGCAAAGACAAATTACATCTCATTACGCCTCGATTAATTTCCATTTTAACACAATCTTTTTTTATTATTTATGAGGCAACATGAATCTCTTTGGTAGGCGCCAGACTTGCGATGTGATAACCAAGTTATTAGATGTCACTTAAAATAATGTTTTTACAGACTCCGTTTGAACTTTGACAACAAACGAGAACTGGATGGGACGAGTCTCGAAGTAATTATTTTTTTGTTTCTGGGACGATCGTGTGTTAATAATAGAAATAAAATGAAGAGATTAAGATTTTTATGTATATAAAAATCCGGGTTTCGAATTAAAATTTAAAAAAAATCAATTTAGTTTTAAGAATCTAGAACAAATAAGATTACAATTAATATCGTTTTTTAATTGTTTTTAAAAAGGTGTTTACATAAAATGATTAAATTTTATTTGAGACTTGTTGTGTTCCGATTTACGTCATTTTTTTGATTATTAAATCAATTAAATACCAATTTTCATTTTTTTATTAAACAATTATAAATGATTTTTTCAAAAACAACACATTTTTATCACCTATCTAATTAAGTTAATTGTTTAAAAATTATCGTGTCACATTTTACCTGTAAAAATAATCTTTCAAAGGTCAAATCCGAATCATGGGAGTTAACTTTTTTTTTTAAATGAACTTTAAAACCATTACGAACAAATAAGATTATATATATTTTTAAAATGTATTTTTATAATTTTTAGCGATTTATTTATTTAACTTGTTTACTAAACTTAAAATGATTAATCGTTGTTTTATTTTTTTTTGATTCTATTGACAATTTAAACTTTTAAATAAAATTAACTTTTTCTAATCCGAAAAGAACTTTGTATTTTATAAATTAATTATGAAATTGAAGATGAAATGGAACACTATAAATAAGTTCGCATGCGTTTTATTCATTGAAATAGAATAAAAAATTCGTGTTTCAAAAATTGTGCAAAAAAAACTCTGAAAAGTAGTGAGGTGCCATAAGTGCCATAAGTATTGAGCCGGTTGAGCAATTTCTATACCTGGGCATGGGACTGACAATGAGTTCGGATGGAACGGAAAATAGGAAGTTACGAATGCACAGCAAGGACAATGAAAGAGAGCACAAAAAATTAACTGAGCATATTTGAAAGGAAAGGATTAAGAAGAATATTGAGGCCAATAAAAAAACAATACATGGAGGGTCAGACTGGTACGTTTATCAGACTTCAAAGATTGCAATGGGCAGGACATGTTAGCGGATGGAAGAAAGAACTTTATCAAAGAGAATTATCAACACTAGAATGCATAGGAAAATACCGGTGAGCAGACCCCGAAAACTCTGCGACGACTTATCTTTCTTTATGAAAAAATTCATTGTTTTAAACAAGTCAAGTCGTAAAACCTTACAACAGATGTAAAAAATGTACAGAAGAGGTCGGTTTTGGAGAAATATAAATGGGGTAAACCAGTACTCTATCCTAACAGAGATATTCCCTGGACAGTTGAGAGGGCTAAAGAATTCGTTCTTATTTTAACAACTATGTTGTTTAAACTATTTGTATTTTAGTGCTTTCTTTTTTAAATTCTCGAACCTTTTAAAGTTTTTTTTTTAGTTTTAAGTTTAGTTTTTCCTGTTAGTTTTTATTGACGATAAGTATTTTTACACTTTATGTCTTCTTTATTATTTTATGTGTATGTTAGGCACGCAAAGACCAAATCTTCTGTAATTACTATTTGTGATTTTACGACTTTTGTGATTATGTGGACAGAGCGTCTAAAATATCCTACATCTCATCGAGTCGAAGGAGCCAAAGGTAAATAATCTGATGTTGAAAACGTTCAAGTTCTTTTAAGAAAGTTCTTTTAAAAAATCGTGGTCAAAATACTGCAACTACTACGCTGTAAAAAATAAATACTTAATTATAACGACGAATTCAATTAATAAAAACTTTTATTTAGAAATCAAGGTAGCATAAATGAACCAATGAATGATGAATTGGAGAATTTTCGGTCAACACAAAACACGTATGGAATTCTAGTTATTCTAATAGATCCCTAATAGAAATTCTAGAATTTCTATAAAAAATGGTAATCTTGACCTAGTGCAATAGGGTAAAAGGAATAAAACCTTTCTATTTGATCACCCTGACAATAGTATGACTATTTATGGGAATATTAGGAATAGGTATAATTGGAATTACACGAAACAATCACGACAGAGACACTAAATCGATTCTACCTGTCCAGGCGAGTCAGCCCAGCTCTTTATGCATCTCCGTCATTATTGTTTTACTTATTCACCAAACCAACTCTATCAAACCGAAAAAGTTTTTCATACCGATTCTATGTGTAGGAATGTTAATTAGGCGTGTTTTTGTATATTAAAACCCGGATTTAGATAACCCAATCTGTATTCATTTCAAATTCCTAAAGCTTATTTTTATTTGGTTCCATAATGGCTACTCACAAACTTCAAGTTTGATCATTTTGGGGTGTATTCTGTACTTCGTGACATTCTTTATTTATTTGACATATTTACTGGTTTAATTTATCCTGGTTTTAGATGAGAGAAATATCAGGATTTTTAGATTTATTTCCAAAGATACTATTTCCAAAGACAGCGAAGATTTCGACAAGTAAAATAGGTGGAAAAATAAGGCGCCATCATCTTTTTGGAATCTGATATCCCTGATAACTAGTGCATCCTATTCTGACATTGTCCGTTACATGGCAATTACATCCATCGAAAAAAAAATATATTGAATCACACCTCCATGAAATTTACACCATACGGTCAACTTTCGTGGTTGTAATTGAAACTCTTGAAACACATGTGGGTTTTTGTTGCTGTCCAATAACACATATTTATGCTTATTGGCAAAACCATTCAATCAAAAATTAGCTTCAACGTTAAAAATTCTATGCTTCAAACTTTAGCGAACCAAATCTGAGAAGTTTCGGCACTTCAAATGATTAAGAGCTTTCAGTTCTTAACCCTGCAGTGGTGACGTGAAAACTCGGTCCATAGATCAAGCGTATCTGTCGGTCCAAGAGACCGCGCGTCACCACTGGAGGGTTAAGTTAATTTGATCTTGTAAGAATGTAAACGAAGATCTTTACACAAAATTGTCCACAATGCGAATGAATTGAAGCACTTACATATGCTTAGTACTCACCTGGTACATTACAATACCTCAACTCGAATTTATTCAATATAGCATACACAACCTATCTGGTGGCATAAAATTGTTCAATAATGAAAAACATTGAAGGGTGCGTTCTTATTTAAATACGAAATTGTTATGTTTTTATTGGGAAACCCGTTATGTGTTGATACTTCAGATCAAGGTTTAGATGGGGACGAAGATAGAAATAAAATCAATTGTGATACAACTGGGAATTTCCAATTAATTAGAAACGCTCTATTTACTCAATTTTTTTGCTTACTCTAATACTCTTCACAAACCACTTAAACTTCTAAAAACAGTTTAAATAGTATATTTTTAAATATAAATCAAAATGGACGAATTTATGTAATAATTAAAATTGAACTCACCTAATTTCATTATAAATGTCGGCTTTTTCGTTTCATTAAATAAAAATGTCCGTTGATAATCAATAAGCTCCTGCATAATTCGTACAGCTTCAAGATGTTTTTCAGATTTTGCATAATCAATTGGCGATTTATAACAATTATCGGTAACTTGTGGATCTCCTCCGCACTTTAACAACAGATCCAAAATGTTTAAACGACCCCACGCAGCGGCAATATGAACTGGCGTCAATCCTTCGTCTGATTTAACGTTCGGATCGCCACCGTGTTGTATTATCAATGCAGTGACTTGAAGTGCAAATGATTCCGATTCGTTTCCAATCGTCAAATGAAATGATGAAATTCCTTTTTCTGGTAGGATTAAATTTGGATCAGCATGTTTTTCGGTTAATAATTTAATAATTGAACTGAAACATAGAATACATAGTAAATAATTTTGATTAAAATATAAAAGAAGGAAAGTTCAGGATGGGGTTGAAATTTTAAATTGGGACATAAAGAGAAGGAAATGGAATAAATGGAACGAAATAAAAGGGGACACATTGATATTAATTAATTCTCACTTCTTCTTAACTTATCTAGAAGCAAGTTAAAGATAACAAGAAAACAATATGCTTCCATTCATAAATAATTGCACTTTTTTTATTCTTATAATTATTTATATTTTCATTTTAAGATTATAATTTAAAAAAATAATTTTGTTTTCGGTAATTAATTTAGAAGAAAAATTTGATATTTTATATTGTTACTTTTATTATTTAATGATTTATTGCAATGTCTTTTTATTTAAGTTTAAAACCATATTCTTGATTACTTTCAATTAAAAGGTACAATTCCGAGACAAAATTAAACTCAAATATTGCTTAAAGCTCAATATATTGAGCTTTAAGGTATAATGTGACTGACTGCAAACCGCAGACGACACTACTGGTTGTCATGGAGATACATGTATCTCCGTGACATTAAAGATACAATTCCAAGATGGACGACAAACTCCAAATCGTAGGCGACACTACTGAGTGAGATACATGTATCTCCATGACATTAATTCCAAGCGTGGCGACACTTCACATCCAAGTTATATACGTATCAAAGTGCCGCATGTCATGGAATTGTACCGTTAATGTCATGGAGATGCATATATCTCCATAACAACCAGTAGTGTCGCCTGCAGTTTGCAGACTGCCGCCTGTCGCAAAATTGTATTTTGAAGCATATATCTTCATGACAACCAGTAGTGTCGCTTAACACGAAACTGTATCTGTAATGTCATAGAAATACATATATCGTCATGACAACCAATAGTGTCCCCTGCGATTTGCAAACTGTCGCCTGTTAAAGCATTATACCTTAAAGCTCAATATGTTGAATTCTCATTTTTCGCCAACTTTGATTATTTTAATATGATTAATACCTGTCCTAATATGATATAAACTTACTTTATATCTTGATCTTCAATAGAATCATAAAGTATTGAAGCAAGATAAACTTCCGTGCGGTTTCGACCACGATAAATGTTCATTGTAACACAAAAACTTCAAATTTCAAAACATCAATTTAAGACAAACAATTAAATTAGCAACAATTTAATTCACAAAAAATGACATAAAACACCACAAAATCAATGAAAAACTATTTGATTTAAGCGTAACACTTGGAATCTAATCGGGAACTGATGCCGTGAACATAAATAAGGTTAGAAATTCGAACCTTGCGCTTGCGCACCAGATAAAAAACAATCGCCGAACGTCGGATTTCACGTGTCTCGGCCGTCTTGTTTTTTTTTTTTTAACATAGAGGCTATACTTGTTCGTGTTTCGGCATCTTTTTTTCATTCGCTATTCGGTTTTGAAAGGTGTTTCAAATTTATAAATCAACATTTCGCAGGATATCCGCTTAAATTTTCGATCTAAACCGAGAAACCTGCTCGTTTCTTTCCATTTGAGGTTACCTTCGCGAGTATACTGCTCTTAAGACGTGTACAAATAGTTTTTAGAGAGAAGATGTTGAAGATGTGATTTTAGTCTTGGAAGAAGTGTTGAACATCTTTTTATTATGGTTAGGTAAGTTAAAATGAGCATTTTTAATAAATTTATTTGATTTATTATTATTTAGTGCGTTTTTATTTTTTGCTTTGTAACAAATTTTATTGGTAAACGTTTTATTTTAATAGTACAAGTGCTGATAATGTGTTTATTTGGTTAAACAATGCTTATTAAGTCGTTTTGTTACTCTTTTTATTATTGGTGAAAATAATTAAAATTATTGGTTGTGTAGGCAACCCAAATTGCTTACACTATTTTTTGTGTGCCACTTGGTTATCAAGAAATAGTTTTGGTATTAATAATTGATAAAAGGAATTTTAATACCCGGAAAGTTACTTGAAACGTAATCTACTTCATTAAATTGTTGAAACTTATTTTTCTTGTATTCGTATCTAATCAAATTACATAGGGATTAATCAAATATCGATAAATTAATAATTTATCTTTGGAAATGTTTGGAATTGATTGTTACATTAAAAATTACCATCCTTTTTCTATTTTTTTATTAATAAAAAAAGCAAAAAGAAATTTGCTGAGAAATTAAAAATGTTTTAATCACTTTGCGATTTTTTCTGGTTATCCAACAGTTAAATTAAAATCAGTTTTAGTGTACCACTGATTAAAATCTAACCAATACATCAATTGTAAAAGATCAGATCCATACACTTTTTGGTGATGGTTACTAAGAGTTCTTAATAACATATCGGTTAAATTATTCGCTCTCGTTTCAATTCCTTCCAATTCTTGCTGTTGCATTTCAGTCAACTCAGCGTCCCAAGTGTGTGCATACAAACAGAATTCATTACATAATTCTAGTATCAAATAAATTATGCTGTACATCTACAATATTAAAAGTTAAAACAAATATATTAAAACAAAAAAAAAATTTACAGTATTTTTTCCTTTATAATTTAAAGCTGGTAATTGAACCAAATTGTGTTTGTGATTATCGCTTGTTGTCTAAAAAAATTATGCTGTATTAATGTTTAAAAAGCATTAAAAATTACCTCATCAACAGTCATAACAAATGTTTTGCTTAATAAATTGCACAAAAACTTCGAATGTAATCGGATGATATCCTCAAATTCGTTAGCGTTTTGTACAGCTTTTTTAAACGTTGAAAATTCCGCCTCAATCACATCTACTTGTAAATAATACTGTAAATTATTAACGAGAAACATTAAGTTGTGCCGAAGAGTCCAAACCCTTTTATTTCTAAAAAAAATTATTCATATAAACAAAAAGGCTTTCATGGCCAGTGTTGATTGAACTAAATCTAGAACTAACACTAGACCTAGAAACCTAGATGAAAAATGTTTGACGTTTTGGATTCCACGCAACCTTCTTCAGAAACATGATCGCAGTGACGAAATTGGTTGAGTTTGACAAAATGTAATACTTGAATAAATAATTAATAAAGTCTGGCTCTGACGAGGACATCTAGTCTTATTGAAATCTATAGTGTTTCCCTTTTTGTGGCAATACGACTGCCAACTGTTGGACAGTTTGACCAACGTAATACTTCCCACAACTGAATGATAGCCGACAGACTCTCATTTAATAGGGTTACTTTGTCTTTAGCTATCGGAAGAGCGTTCTGAATTTTGCTGACACCTTGTAATCTGCTCCGTCATACCCGACACATAAGGGAGGCAGATAAAACCGGTGGTAAAACCTCTGTTAGGTCAAAACATAGAGAACTGGAGAGTGCATGCCGAAATAAGATAACTTATGTGACTTATGTGATTACCTATGAAATACTCGAAAATCTAATGAAGAACATCATAAAATTGTGCCAAAAATATTTCTACAGAGTAGGAGATAAAAGCATAAACCATATACCGGTGGAATGCGGATTTAAATGAAAAAAGGCTTAAACCCAGAGCGAACGTAGATCAAACAGAGCGGGAATTATAAGACGGCAAAGGCAGAGTTAAAAAATGCGATCGCTAAGAACAAGAGAGAGAAGTGGAGGACTCTATGTGAGGAGCTTGAAGATGACGTTTGAGGAAAGGCCTGCAAGACAGTCACAAAGAAACTAAAACTTAGGAATCGTCTTACAATCACAGACGAGACAGTGGAAGAACAAGTGGCTAAACTTTTCCTGAAGCATACAAGAATCACATGACGGTACACACCGGTTGAAGATCTACAACTATTCACAGAAGAAGAACTTGTCTGCTGTAGGCAAGATAAAACCGAAGAAAGCGCCAGGACCAGTCAAATATTGTCGGAAATGCTGGTAGCAATGGTAAATAAATACCCAAAGGAGTTTCTGGAGGTTTATAAAGTTGTGTAAGGAAAGCTGTTGGGGGGTTTTCTTAGGGAGAGGCTTCAAAGAGAAGCAGATGCAAGGGGCTTGATTCACGAAAATGTTGATGCGTTGTTTGGTGGCTCGCTAGATATCCCTCAGGGCACGGTGGCATTCCCTTTGTTTGCTAGAAGGACTATTTTTTCTATGATCCTCCGCACCGCCTTTTTTTTTTGTTAATTGTTAGATTTGATTTTGATGATTTTGACTTCGCTGATTTAAGGACTCTGGGTATATCTTGTCGAATTTCCTCTTCCAACCCAACCCAACCCCAATAAGAGAGCGACAGTCTATCAGCTATCATGTAGTTGTGTGAAGAATTACATTGTCCAAACTGGGTAACATCGAGTGCTGAATTAAGCAACAAGAGAGGGATGTCCGACTGAATAAGAACCAGCAGTCGGAAGTTGCAGAGCATTGCCACAAAAGGGATACACCATAGATTTCGATAAGACCAAGATGATAGCCAGATCCCGACATTATTTCCAAAAAACAAGAGATGCGATAGAGATTCATAGACATAGGCACAATATGGGCATATACAGGTGTTTCTAAATAGATGCGAAAGATTTCAAGGGTTAAGGGTTGCTTTTCTTATAACTTATTAACCTTTAAAGTTAAGCGAAAAATCTGCAACTTTCTTATCTCTTGACATTTTACAACTAACAAATTGTTAGTTTGATCACAAAAAATAAAATAATGCTGATATCAATTTGACTTCATTTCTTTGAATAATAATAATCAATCTCTGAATTAATTCACTTGAGTCTGTGTATTATTTAATTTTCTTGTGATCAAACTAACAATTTTAGGAGAAAATGTCAAGAGACAAACTTAATTTTTTCAGACCCTTGTAATAACATTTTTGGGTTAAAAAATCGTCAAAAAGTGTCGTTTTATTAGTAACAGTTATCAGCCAAATTTCATTCTTCCAAATTCCTCCATAGTGGATTTATTAAATAAAAACAATTTTTTTCTCTTAACTTTAGAGTACTGTAACTTGGTGGTGAAGGGGTTTTGAACAATAAGTTATATGAACGACCCCCCTTAATTTTTGTTGAAAAATCACTTCTTGAAATCTTTGGCATCAATTTGGAAACACCTGTATATTACGGGCTTAACCTGAAAAATTTTAGTTCTAGTATTAGTTCTACTTTTAGTTCAAAAATTATTAAATATTTATGATAAAAGTTATAATATACATTTTCTTCTTTGATGATATATGATTATGCCATAATTTGTTCAATTCAATTTGAGTTCTAGTAATTGTTAATAGAAATCGAAATAATCTATTATAAAGATCCAAAGTTTTCGGGTAGAAAATTATGTGTAAGGGCCAGACTATATCAAAATTCAATTTTAATAATGTCCAAGGATTATCACCTACAAAAAAAAGAATCATTTCGTTTTCACATAATCACAAAATAATAATTACATGTTTCAGATTGTTTCACGATGGCTAATTCAAACTTTTTAAAACTTTTATCATATTCCCCATATATTTTTGCAGCAGTATCCGAAAATATCATATTCAAATTTGTTACAATGTAGCTATTTGGCGTTTCTTTTAATTTTTCACCAGCTGTAACAATGAATCGTTGAAATAATTCTCCTCTACCCAATCCATAATAATCCCTAACGTTTTGTAAATGTTCTAATAATTTCGCTTCATCCACCACAATAGTCCAAAGATGCTAAAACAAAGAATTAAAATTTCCTCGACCCTAAATATAATTTTTAAATACCTTTGTAAGCTTTAAACGACATTTTTCAATAGTTCTTTCGAAATTTTCAAAATCAAAAACTCCTTTTTCTAATTCAAGCACTTTTTGGTATAATTCTGAGCCATTTCGATTCCAAACTGTGTAATTTTCTGGCGTATTAGCATCGATTGGACGATTTTCATTGATCCACACAGTTCTGCCCATAAACAAAATCTTCTCCGCCAAATCATAACTAATTATTGACGGCAGCATTTCCGGGCGAATATAAAATTTCCGTACGGGATAAACAATTTGACCCGATTTTTTTGGACCCAAAGTGTGGGATTCATAACATTCTGCTTCTTCACCACAGTTATCTGGATATTGAAAATTTTCATCGGGGCAGTTTGCGTCGCAAATAAAGAATTCATTGTATTTGTCTTTAATATCTCCATAAATAATCCATTTCGATAATTGATGGTAAAATGGGACATTAATAAATGATATTAATCTAATAAAAAAGTAAAATTTAAATGTAGTTTGGAAAAATGAAGAATTTTACTCACACTTTGGTGGCTTCAACAATCATGGGAATATTACAATCAAGATAAAGATGTAAACGGCCTAAAAGTAAAGCTCCTCGTACATTTTCAATTTGAATCATTCGAATCATTTTTATCAAAACATCGAAAAGGGTGTTAAAGTTTTCAATTCGACCCAAAACAAAGCTTAATGTTAATTCAGGATGTTTTAAAAATTCCTCTTCTATATCAACAATTTCGTCTCGATACCTTTTTAAAACTTTATCGAGACCATTACAAAATGCTGTTATATATAGTCCTGGTTCCATATCCTTTATATTATCTTGACCATCTTCTCTTTTTTCAGTATCTATAATATCACTCTAATAATTAATCAAATCATTAAATTTTAAAGCTCGCCAAACCTTCATACAAAACATGTTCTATTTTCTTATTATTCAAAACATCTTTACGAAATTCCTCAATTGTGTGATAAGTTAAAGCGATAGACATGATTTCACCTAACAATTCTCGTTCGGCTGGGTGTAAAAACTCCCGCAATTCGACATCTCTTAGCCATTCCTAAATCAAAATATCAATTTCGTTAAGTAAAACAACATAACCTAACTTTTTAGACAAACCTCTTTCGACAACGTTTTAAAAAGAGTTCCTCGAGAATTCCATAACGAAAAAAGTGCTTCGTGAATCATTTTATAAACCAAAAGAAATTCAACACTCAATACGTTTAAAATAATTTAATTTAACTATTTCGAATTGATTTACTTCACAATGTGTTTTGACATTTTAAATACGTTCTAAAACAACGTAAGCGTTGCCAACCGTTTTTTTTTATTTTTTTTATTTTTGGGGTTTATAAATAAAATTCAAGAAATTTAAAATTCTTTTTGGTAAGTCGTATATTTTAAACGTGGCTTTTAAAATTAGTTTAAAGATAATAAGTTTTTTGATTAATAAATAGATTTCAAAATATATTTTGACATTTACTAATCAAGCGACATCTAACGTATAAATTTAAAAATACTCGTCCTTGTCAAATTTTTGTAATTACATAAAATTATAGTTTAGAATGAATATTAAATTAGTTTATAGAAGAACCTAAATTGTTTTAGTTCATATAGTTAATTCAAAAAAATTAGAAACGTTGATTTGTGATTATAAACTGTTTACAAATTTAGGGAAATTTATGTTTTAACGGTTGTCGTTCTGAAAACAACTAAGAAGAAGAAGCTCGCGTTTATACATTGTGCGTGTTTTGTAGCAAATTTTGTGTAGTTTCTCGTGAATTTTTAAATAATCCCGTTCGAATGTTTGTGAAATAAGGTTTCGATGTTGTAATTTATAAAACTAAAGTGATAAACACATCAAAAAAATTCCGTTTAACTCAATTTAAGTACGTTACGAGGGAAGCCCTCAAACTGAAGATATTCGTTGTTTCGCTTCACGTTTTTGTATATTATTCTCCTACACGCGGTTTTAATTATCCGGCAGTTAAATGATCGATCATCAGATGAATTGTTTTCGTGTACTGCACAAATTCAATAGGAGATGTCCGAAAACCTAGACGATTTACGGGTATTCTCCCCAATAAATAAACAAACCTCAAAAAATGTATTCATCAAGATATTAATGTCTTTTTCTAGAATATGCTCTTAGCCTTTCGGGTTTCTGAACTGCAGATGCTCTTAGGTTACGCTGGTAGAAATAAGTCGGGACGTAAGACAGAATTGCAACAGAGAGCTCAAGAATTGCTAAGAACGCGATCTGTACCATACATTCATCAAAAAATTAGAGAATTATATAAAACTATACAGTATATTTTAACGAATTACTTTATATCTAAAACTAATTTTCATTGTTTTGTCAATTAGACAAAGTGGAGTATTGAATAATAATCAAGGTGTTCAAACAACAACTGGAAATAATAACGATTTGCCTAATATATCTATTGGAGGAAATATGTCTCAAAGTCAAGGAGGGATGCCTCGAGCCACTGCAACCGTTCCTCCTTACAATGTTGACACAAGAATTGTAAGAATCATTATAACCTTAAAATTTCAATCTAATTGTGTTCTTTTTTTATTTCTAAATCTTAGACGCGACAAGCAGCGATGTATAATCAAACAATGTCATATCCTTCATATCCTCAATACACCCCAAAACCACCACCGCCATTGGTTTCCGGTCAATACCCCGTGCTCCCGGATGTTCACTTCAAGAGACTCCCATTTTTTGATATCCTCTCAGAATTAATCAAACCATCATCATTAGTGCCACAAAATACACATAGAATCCAAGAGGGAACATTTTATTTTCATTTAACACCTGCTCAAGCTACGGATATCGCCAGTTCGCGGGATGTTCGTCATGGTTCGAAATGTGAATACACCAAACAGGTTCAAATGAGATTTTGTCTTCTCGAAACTACGTGTGAACAAGAAGATTTTTTCCCGCCAAGTGTTGTCGTTAAAGTTAATAATAAGTTGTGTCCGTTACCAGTAAGTTTTATTAATTTAAGCAAATTATTTTTGGAAAAATTCAAGAATCATCATCTGGTTTAAAAATCGACGATTTTTTTTTAATCAATGTGAAATGACCCAAAAAATTAGGGTTGGGCGTTTTTGTACTGCCACTAAATTGCACTAACACTGGCTATACAGTGGTGCTTAAAATGCAAAATCCATTATCACTGAAAATTTAGTGATAGTGAAAAAAATGCACAATATAAATTCAAGTTTAGTGATAAACTCATCAGACATAAAATATAAATTCAAGTTTAGTGATAAACTTGAATTTATATTTTATGTCTGATATTAGTTTGTTCAACTAGTTTGTTGATAAAAATATTTCTTGTTTATTTTGCATACATTTCCTTATACTGCTTCAGCTAATAAGGTAGTCTTACTTTTATTCTTCAAGAAGCAGTGATTTGTTACTGAAAAATGTTAATTATTATGACTAAAAGTTTTCACTATCACTAAATATTTAATGGTAGTGCAATTTTTTTCATTATCACTAAAGATTTAGTGATAATGTAGATTTTTTTTCACTATCACTAAATATTCAGTGATGATGAAATTCGTGTTTTAACTATCACTGAAGAAATATTGGTAGTGAAACGCTTATTCCATTTATTTTTTAGTGCATTATGCCCAACCCTGCAAAAAATACGTTAAAAATAAAAAGAAAGTGCGGAAAAGTGTAGAACATACCGAAAAATCAAATTAAACTTTCGATGTGACGTCACGTTTTGTGACGTCATAAGCAATCTTAACCATGCATTTTCCTATTAAACCTAACCTACAAATTATTTATTTTATAGCCACACACAAAATCAATCTGATAAACTTAAAAGTAAAGTTATTTTCACTAAACTAGTATTTACGGATGAAAAACCCTTGTTTTTCTTAGCCTGTCGATGCGTAACGACTGACTACCTGTCGTTAGATAGATTGTGTGTCAATAGACTCTATCTTAATACTAGGACTAACACTAGACTGAAAACTAGAAACATTCGGATTTAGTTGCACGTCTCGCAAGACAGCTAAACCAGAATGATTCTAGGTCTTGTGTTAGTTTAAGTGATAGTGCTAGTCTAAAACTGGAACTAACACTAGACCTAGAACTAGAAAGTATCGGGTTTAGCCGTGCGTCTTCAAACGGCTAAACCTGAATATTTATAGTTCTAGGTCTAGTGTTAGTTCTAGTTTTACTGCAATGAAAATGTTAAAAATCGTTCCTGTACATCATATCTTTAGGTACTAGGGTCAGAAATCTTCGCGATTGGATAGTGATTTTTTTAATAATGGAATCCTTATTAACCATGCTACTATAGAAGTTACAAATCAAACAACAAATGTGATTAGTTTTCCGAAAAGAAATATTACTTTGATCGAGTTAAGGTTAAAAGAATTTATGTCTATTAAGTACGACACACGATTTAAAAAAAAAAGTTGTACAGCACTCTTGGCAAGTGATTTTAAAAGAGGGCTGGTTAAATCAAGTTTCTAAAATGATACAACACTTACCACTTTTCTTTTCATACAAAATATTGCCTGTTTTTCTGCAAAAAAACATGTTATTTAAAAAATTTTCGTATGCTATTTGTATTTACTCTTTATTTCCTCTCAACTTTATCAGAAGATGTGCCACTCAATATCTACGAACTACAAAATGTGGTTTCAACAAGATGGTTGAACTTATGTCTTGCAAAAGGACTGTTTCACCTAACGACAAAATTAAACAAAAGGAATTATTAATTCATTTATTATTAATTTTATTACATAATTTTCTTAAAACTTTTGCAAATGCTCAACTTGTTTGCCGTCGGCACTAATACAACTTTTCTGCATCGTCGCAGAAAAGATCTTTTTACTAGTTGTGCAAATCTCTTTCCATTTATTTCTTCTGCAGTTCGGCAAGATTTTCAATCGGTTTTTAATACACTGTTTCTTTTATGATCCTAATAAAAAAATCAAGGGAATTTAGGCCCAGAGAATGAGGAGGCCACGTAATAGAACTAAGACGCCCAATCCATCTTTGGGGATATTCTGTATTCAATCCCGTACAGGACAAGCATAATGAGCTGGACAACCATCTTGTTGAAACCACATTTCTCTGTAGACATTGAGTGTCACATCTTCTAACAAACTTGTTAAATTATTACAATGATAGTGTCAATTTTTTAAATAACGCGTTTTTTAACAGTCCTTTTGTAAGACATTCAACCATCTTATTGAAACCACATTTTGTAGTTCGTAGATATTGAGTGGCACATCTTCTGACAAAGTTGAGAGGAAATAAAGAGTAAATACAAACAGCATACGAATGTATGAATTTTTTAAATAACATGTTTTTTTGCAGAAAAAGAGGTAATAATATGTTTTAAGAAAAGAAAAATGGCAAGTGTTTAGCCGTGCCTCTTTAGACTTAACTCAAAGTGGATATTCTACACAAAATTCTGAAATAAATCAGTAAATGACATGGGTCCGAATGTAACCTTTAAGGAGGGGGTAAGGCATCAGGTATACATTTTAGGTTATCTTTTTAGTTTATAGATGGGAAACAATGACATTTTAGTCGTTGTATGTTAGTCGTGGTTAGCATGGTTGATGACGTCACAATAAGTGACGTCATGTTGAAACTTTAAAGTGATTTTTCGGTAAGTTTTACACTTTTTTTTATTTGTAACGGCTCACCTGAGTGATTTCCCGTCGATTAAAAAAATAAATTGTCGATTTTTAAGCTACATAATGATTCTTGAATTATACCTTATGTTTTAACCTTTTTTATTACATTAAAGAATCCTGTACCTACAAATAAACCGGGTGTTGAACCAAAACGTCCGCCGAGGCCCGTAAATATAACTCCGTTGGTTAAATTGAGCCCAACCGTCCCAAATACAATACACGTTTCGTGGGGTTCCGATTATGTTCGAGGATATGCGTTGACTGTTGCCTTAGTACATAAACGAACTTCACAGGATTTATTGCAGAGGCTAAAATCAAAAGGAGCCAAACATTCTGATTATACTAGAGGCTTAAGTATGACTGATTCCAACTTAACCACAATTTTCTTTTAATAAATCATTTTTTTGTATAATATGAAGTTAAAGAGAAATTAAATGAAGATGCGGATTGCGAAATCGCAACAACATCATTACGCGTTTCTCTGATATGTCCATTGGGAAAGATGCGAATGATGACACCATGCAGGGCAATTACGTGTCAACATTTGCAATGTTTCGATGCATCCCTATTCCTACAAATGAATGAAAGAAAACCAACTTGGAATTGTCCCGTTTGTGATAAACCCGCGTTATATGATAATCTAGTCATAGATGGGTGAGTTTGTTGTAAAAAATAATAATAATTATTATTAATATGTACATCAAAATGTTTAAATATTAAAGATATTTCCAAGAAGTGTTAAGTTCACCTGTATTAAATTCTGAATTAAACGAAATTCAACTTCACAAGGACGGTTCGTGGAGTACACATATGGTGGAAAAGAAAACCCCCGCCCCTGTAGTTAAAGTTCAAAAACCAACTGATGATTCAATAGAAATTATTTCTGATGATTTAGGTGAGCTGCTTTAATATATATTTTTTTTCTTTATTACTTGTTTATTTCTTGTAGAAGTTGTGTCTTCCGCCGAGGTTAAGCCGACGCCAACGACAACAACTACAGAACAAGGAGCATCATCGGTTGATGGTAATGGTAAAGCGGAACGGAGCATTGTTGATCTTACCATTTCCGATTCCGATGATGAAGAACCATTAGCGAAACGAACAAGATCCGCAAAACCTGATTCAACCAACAAGTTGTCTGGTGAGTTAAATGATGTTTAAACTGATAAAAAAATAAATTGTGTTGAAACAAAATGTGTTGTTCATCAATAAAATGTGTTTTTGGTTTTCTTTTTTCTAATTCCTACAGATGACGTTTATTTACTTAAAGGAGACAATGAGATTGAAAATGATTGTTACAAAAAAGTATAATAGTAGTTTTTTTCTATTTTTTAATCTAAGTTGTGCTTAAATTTTAAGTTGTATATTATGATGTGTGCTTGGCAATACCACAAATAACTTAGTATAATATACACACAAGTACCATATAGATCAAAAATATACCGGATATACCATAAATACCAAAAAATTAATTGAGGTATCAAATGTGAGTTGTTTATTCACGTTAATTATGGATCATTAAAATTGATAATGGGCTGTTCAATATCTGAAAATCTTTTTGGTATAAAGTAATCATTTTATGGGGAAATTAATGCTATTTCCAATTATTGTTTAATTATGTTTATATCTGCTCTTTATTCTATGTTAATATCTTCTACCTGTGTATAGTAAAAACAGTTTTTAAAAATTTAAATGGCTATTTAATGGATATTTATTTTTATTGTTTTCTACAAATAATGAGTTAATAGGTTCATAATTTAAATATAATGGGTTTTATTACTTAAACAGCTTTAGTTTATTGTATTTTGACTTGCTTTAGATTATATATCTTTATTCAATTGAATTAATGGAAACACTTAGGTCGCAGCATTATTTACTAAATGTTGTTTTCTTTTTATTTCTTCGATTAGCAGATCAGATTATAGCACACTGTAGATGTCATCCTTATAGTTACTTTTTTAGTGTGATATTTGTGTTATCTGCGCCAGGACGTTTGCAGTGACAGACCAAAGCACAGAAGTTTAAAATAGTAACTTTGCAGCAGAAACCAAAAATTTAATAATATTTATAAGCTTAGCTACCTAAGTATCACCTTCCTCTTTATCTTCATGTATAATCATGCTTTTAGTTACTTTTCGTATACTTTTGGTTGCCAATTCAACGATTTTCTTTGCATTTTTGTTTCCACTTTGTTTAACGACAATGTCATTTTTATCAAAAACAAAAATAATTAAACAAACTGAAAAAACGAAAAGTTCCTAATTTGTACACACACGGACACAATTTCACTGTTTTAGGACTTATTAGTTCGTTTTTTTCTATAATACCTGTCAAATTGTTGTAAAGTTGGCAAAATTAACAGGGAGTTTTGTTTTATCATGTTTTGAAATAAATATGTCACACTGACGTTTGTTTGAGCTTTTGTTATTCAAAAAGTCAAAAGTAATAAAAATAAAATGAACGATGCGTAAGAAATGTTTTGGGGTGTTTATTTGCCATTTGTTTACCTAGAAAAGGTGTTTTGTTCTATTTTATTAGTTTGTAGCACGTGGTAGCACGTTTTTACAATAAATATGTACTTCGTTTAATCTTACAGTGCTAGTATTTGCGTTTTGTAAGTTGCTACTTGTAATTTCCTTTTCGATATGCCCCACTTTGTCGTAAGAACAATACAGTTTGTTTAAAAAATATTTTTTTAATAGAATTTTGATGAATTAATCAATAAAAAGAAGTAGTTATTTAAATAATTTATTAATTTTTAGGTTCAAACAGAAAACCATATTACTGTTATATGTAACAAAAAAAAAAGCAGGAACATTTGACGAATATTTTTGAGATATCGTGTCCAAAAGATGTAAAAACGTCGTTTTGAAAAAATTTCTTTTAAACTTTCGAATAATAAAAACTGATTCTTTTCAATTTCCAACGTCCAGGGCCATACAATAAACAAGTTATCTTTAGATAGGTCTTAATAAATTGTTAATAAATGTTTTTGTAGATCTGGAAGAAATGGTAGAGCATGTTTCACGAAATGATGCGATCCCGTTGATTTAACGAAGAATGGAATTTCGGTTTAATATTTTATAATCACATTGATAGACCGTCTATGAAAATCTTTTTTAAACGATTTTTTCTCGAATACTACTTTTTACTCACTAACCCCTTTTTATTTTTCAGGGTTACATATGTAGAATCTCAGATAGGTTTGGAAGTATACGTCATCTAATTAATTTTCCAAGTAAGCACAACTTTAAACCTGGTTAGGAATAATAACTGTATTAAGTAAATGTGGTTGGATGAATTATCTTCGCTTTTCTACGTGACCAACACTTCTATTATAATTGCCCTTATAACTTACTACCTTTTACAATTTTCTTTTATGTAGACTTCATCAGTATATTTTCACTTTTCCACCAATTATATAAACTGTACAGCACAATGCTCAGGAATTTGCAACATTATTTGAATATTTTCCAATCAACATAGAAATACTCAACAAAGTTCTTTTGAAGTGCTTCAAGGGATGTTTTCTTTACAATAGCGTCGCTTAACTAGTTTTTTATTAGTATGTATGGTATGTAGTTTCATGAAGGGGTGAATTCCTTCAAAGTACTTAGGTCCCAGCGGCCCCTTTGTACATCCCCACAATTTACAGTTCATTCAGGGGCCAAAAAACCATGGAACAGAGGGATATGTTCTTTATGTGTGAAATTTGGGGCCATGGTACGCCAAAAATGGATTCCCTTAAGTACGCGAGGTTGGGACAGTCACAAACAGTATGACTGAATTCTGTGCATTTGATCCTGTGCATCAATTTGTATTTCTTGGTGCCATCTACAGTTTTTTATAAAGTATATCTCAAAAATGTGGAACGGATATCCGGCCGGATAGTTACCAAATATCCGGGTTTGGCCGGAAATTAAAAACCTATTAGTACTCCACCATTCACAAGGATTAGTATCTTTTTTGGAATTGGACACTGCAGATAATAACCAAGTTCAACCCCAATAGTAGTACTCTTTTCATTTAATACAACATTATTTATTTCAGGTAGCAACCTCATGGTAACAATCCCAAAACGATATATAAATTAAATCTCTTGTTGCAGTTTCCTCTAGTTTTCTTCTCTTCGCTTGTGATTCATCATTACATTCATTTCTAACAGAACTGTCGCTGTTATCACCTTCAGTTTGTGATGCAAGTCTTTCCAATAAAACCCATCTTCTTGCTTCGATTGTTAAATCTATCTTATCAGCTTTCTTATTAATTTCATTTTTGTTCAAATCACTTCAGAAATGCACGAGAAATTATCACTATCCACTAAAAAAATTACTACTAAACCACTAAAAATAAATTACAATCATTTTGAATCTGTATATTGTCAGATTACTATAAAAATAAATTTCTGTTTCAATTTGAATCAATTTTTGCAGAAATAAAAATCAAAGAAGAAATTGTGGGAATTAGAATTTTTGTTTGAAATGTTATGTTTAAGAAAAATTATCAATAGAGATTTTTTATTTATAGGAAAATCTCTGTGTTAAATAAATAAACAGGAAAAAAACGAACAAAATAGAAGGAAAAATGTGTAACATAACTGGGAAAATGTAACACGATGAAATTGAGAATTGTGCTTATTGTGATTCTAAGAGGTGGTTTGCAGACTTTTATTGGTTCCTAGTTTTTTTTTTAATTGTAAATTGAATTAAAAAGAATTTAGATGCAAACCGCCTTAAATCTACTGAAAAAAAAAAAAAAAATACAATTTTGTATGTTTACGTTTTTATTGTTCATTTAATATCTTGTAATACGGTTGTTATATCGATTACTATTTCTAATTGCTCTTGTTTAATTAAAATTTTCTCACCTCAATTCGTTTTCTTTCAATGTTACAGTGATAGTAAAATTATTGAAAACGGATGTTGTTTAAAATAATAATGTAAGTTATCTATTTACGAAAATACAGTATTTCTACAAAAAAAAACCCAACTGACTTATTATTTCTGTATATTTTTTTATTTTTTTAATTTATATTTTCTTTTTGAAATTTAATGAAATTTCAGGATAATTAAAGTGTAGTGAACAAGAAAGAAAAACGAAAAAGTGTTAAATGAACAATAAAAACCCGATTTTAACCTCCAAAAAAACTACGTTTAGTAGAATATAATTTTGGGAGGTTAAATCGCCGTGAAAGGTAAGAAAGATTTGTTTTTCTCTCTTCAATTTGCGTTCTTATTTCAGATTCGATTTCCTCGTCAAGTAATCAATCACGAACTCCAGCGAACACACCGGGTCCTTCCACCGTTTCAAGTTCGGGTTATCCACCAAGTCCAGCACCGGTCATTTCTGTAGATAGTCCATCGCCTCCACGCTCACCTCACATATTCAACTTTAGCAACGAACATCTATTTCATTCGGGTCATTTTTAAAAACATTTTATAGACAAGTTTTTTATTTAGTAACAAAATTGGGGTTAAAATATTATTTTTTTTAATTTAGTTGTTTTTGAGTATTACTAAAATCTTTGTATTAGTTACTTTTTAGTTTTTTTTTTTTTGAAGTTAACGATAAGTTTATTATTAATTTTTTTATGAATAAGTATTTATTTTTCTATACAAAGATATTATTAATACCATTTAAAAAGTGTAATAATGGATAAATAAGAATAAATTAAGATCTTACTTTCTCATAATTTTTAGTAGTTTCAAAATTTAGTTACTTTTAATTGTATCCCAGTGGACTTATAATATGCTGTGTTGGAAGAATTGGTGAACTTTATTAATAACTGTCATATTATATTTGACGTTTAAAATAACATTTTTACTCAATTTATATAAAAATTCACATTATTTCAGGAACCCACTCTTTAATACTCATGTATCGTCATCGGTCTTCAAAAACAACAATAAAAGAAGTGTGTATGAACCTTTTTTGGAATGTATCACGAACAAGATTGAATTGTTTAGCTGCAATAATATCCGGAATACTCTTTTTTACTGGATGGTGGTTGTTAATAGATGTAATAGTGGTGTACCAAAAGTTTATGGATGAACATAGAGTCTACGTAATTCCGGGCGTTATCGGAACCGTTGCAATGATCGTTGTTAATTCTATTCCAAATCGGGTTGTTCACAAAGAATACGGAAATTGGAGCGTAACTGCGGTTTTGATTCTATTCGTGGGGTTGGTTATGGCTTTTGGTGCGGTGATTGGGGCCTCATATATTTTGGTGCAAGATTTTGTTTTGAATCAATCAGATAATTTATACGTTGGAATTGGGATTTTTATGCATAATATTTTAATTTTTTTAGCTGATATGGCAATTAAATTCGGTACTAGAAATATTTCAACATATTAACAATTATAAAGTATTTGTATTGACACAAGGTGTTTTTATTAATTGAAGAAAGGCAAAAAAAATTGGTTTAAACTAAGGACGGTAGAATTTAAAAGGACTGATTAAATCTTTTGTTCATCTGTCATACAAAAAATGACACCAGTAGCTAAAAACTACGTCATTATTATTATTATTCCTGCCAGGCTGAGGGGAGCAGTCCCTCTCGCTACCGCGACCTATAAGATCTATTATAACTTAAACCCTCCAAAAGTTTAGGGCAAATGTAGCTCCTTGATGAAACTTAGTATTGTTCCAAAGCATTGTTCCTTTATGCTTGTAGGTGTTCAGGAATCAGTGACTCGTCGTTACAAAGTCGACAAGTTTTATCCTCAGCTTGTTCAATGTAGAAGAGATGGTATTTTAGAGGCGCACAGCCGGTCAGGAAGCTTGAGAGCAACCTTAGATCCCCTTTGCTGCGATATAAACCCTCTTTGGTTTTGTTTTGCGTTGGAGTTATCATACTCTTTGTTTGTCTGTAACCTGGAAGTTCTTTCTAGCATAAAGCTATCAGATAAAGAATCCAGAACGGCTACACATTCATGAAATATTTTGTTCTTACATGTCTGCTCGTTCAACATTTTTGCTAGCCTTAGAAAATGTTGTGCAAATACATCCGAGCGAGAAAGTAATGTTTTGAAACCCGAAATCGCTTGCCGTCGAGGCGTTTTAATCGACTGATCAAGTATAAAAAGTTTGTTTTGATATAGGTATTACGGTAACACCTTGGCTATAGTGACATCGTACATTTTAGTGTATTAAGCTGAGGCGGTACGAGGTTTGACGCTAGCCTTTTGATGATATGGTATTAACTAGGGTTGTAACGAATGTTTGCATTCACAATTATCAAGCTTTTGCAATTTTTAATGCGAAAGATTTGGTGAGATACACAAGTTCACACATGTTCATGCGACTGAGAGAAGCCACCGTCAGAACGATCGTGTTTAGTAGTAGAGATTAGAGAGATAGTTTACGGATGTTGTATTTAGTGTTTTGAGTATTCTCTATTGCTTCTATACGTTTGGAAATTAATTGTACGACAATTTAATGAAGTTGTGATAAAGATGAGTAGAGGCCAAGGTTGAGTGGTATATGGAACTACTTTAATGAAGAATCTGATGAAAAAGCAAAATGTAACATTTATGAAAACGTGTACTCAAGAAAAGCAAAAATGAAGCATACCGATGAATTTCAGTAGTCCAAAAAACGGATACCTGCTTGACACCAATGCAAGAAGTTAAAAAACAAATAACGCTATCGAAAACGCTTCAGTTAAGACAATTTTGTGATTCGTCTGATAAAAAAGCAATGAAACTTGATAAATTGGTTGCAGAGATGATTGTTGGTCAAAATTTGTCCTTTATTTTTGTGGAAGGTATCTTTGTTAAACGTTTACTGCAGGGAATGTTTATTACAATCGCTTAACGAATTTGAAAAACTAACATCCACTACAGATATTTGGTCTGATCCCAGCGCAGGCGTTTCACTTCTACCTAACAGCCCATGGAATGAATAACAGAAGATTTAAAAAAAGTTAACATGGTTTTAAAATGTGAACCGATGCACGACAATCATACAGGTAATGTCATATTTGAAAAACTAAGCTTAATGCTTAAATAAGCATTAAGTGAAAAGGTTTGTCGTTTTATTCACAATAGAGGACCAAACATGATTAGAGCTATAAACCTGTCTCACTTTGCTCAATTCACCAACTTCTATTATACATCAAATCAGGTTTATTTGAAAATGCAATCTATTTTAATCATTCCACACTGATGAAAGACGAATTACAGAAAATTCAAAGCGAAAGTCTTGGCCAATCTTTCCTATTAATTAGCTTTGTTTCAACCAGTGGTTTGACTCGTCGTGGACTCGTCAAATGCAATCACACAGTTGAATAATGCAATGAAATCCGCTGAAATGTGACGACATTACTTGACATGTGCGACTGCTATTGACGAGTAACGGACGAGTCCGACCGCTTGTTGGAACAAAGCTATTATTCAAGACTGTCCAACAAGGTATGTATTAGTATGTGATTGTTTTTGGTTTTTTTAATCATTAAACGATTTTTATTAGTTATTACGTTATTAGTTAGGATATTAAAGCCGTGTAAGTAAACTATTCTTGTCAAGTGGAGCAGTACATTCTATATGATGGAACGTTTCTTGAAAATAACAGATTCTCTTGTTCTTTATTTAAGTACTAACAATAGAATATCAGTATTGGTATCTTCTGAAGACTGGAAAATTATGGAGAAATGTGTGAATATAAAGTAAGTAAGTAAGAATGTAAAGTAAATAACATATACAGTGTGTTAATTAATTATCGTACCCAACATAATCATTGCAAGTATGCAACCAATATCACAGAGATAGACAGCCTAAGTCTGGCGTCACAGAGATGGGCGGAGCTTATACCGATTTCCAAAATTTCGTTGCTAAGATAAATCGCCATAAAAATGTCATTTAAAATGTCACTTAGTTTATTTTATTTTAACACTAATTGAAAAATTGCATATGGGGATTTATCGTTAGCAACGAAGACGTTTGGAGTCGGTATAAGCTACGCCCATCTCTGTGACGTCAAGGCTTAGGTTGTTGTAGCGTCATGTCTACAAAATCCATTCCCTAAATCCAAGATATATTTTTCCTTCGTCAAACAAAAAGATTTAGTGACCTTGCTTTTTAAAATATATCTTGGCAACAAAAATTTGTTATTATATAAAATCATTCATTCTCATTCCTTTCAATATACTCGTTTAAACAAGACGTATAAAAAACTGCTCGACCAATTTAAATTAAATTTTATTTATTATGTTGGGAAAGTTAAATCCTATTAACAATCCCACCGTTGTCTATTTGCATATTTAGATATATTTAGTGTGATATTGGTTGCATACTTGCAATGATGACGTCGGATACGATAATTAATTAACACACTGTATATACTATGTCACTTGTCATAGCTTGTTCAGCCTTAGAAGAAAAATTTACTGGTTTTACCTAGTTTACTAAAAAACGTTACAACATTTATCCATTTATCAGTTTTTTTATTACCATAGATGAATTACCAATTTGTTTTTCAATTATTATACAGGTATTCCGCATAAATACAAAATCTTATAATTTTTAAAAGCATTTTTTATAAGCAAATAAATTCAACTTGTGAAGATGAAGAAGCCAAACATTAAAAAGAAAATAAAATCAATCCAATTGCATCCCTTCATCGTCATCTTTTTTATCATCTTTTGTAGGGGCCTCTTTTTTGTCTTTTTCTTTATCAGCCGATCCCTGTCCATTTCCTGATGTCGGCCCAGTTTTTTCCAATGCTTTCAAAAATTCCTGCATATTACCTTGAGCCGCCGCACTAATGGCTTCAGGATTAACTGCTAATTGCGACACAACCGGCGCTAACTGCCCCGATTCTAAAGCACTTGAAAATTGGGAAACAGCTTGTTGAAATTGGGGTGATGCCAATGTAGATCTAAGTTGATCCTGTATGTTTCCATCAACAGCAGGTAAATGACTTTGTAATTGTTCTAAAGCCTCAGGATTATTCATTAACCCTGATAAACTATCAGAAGTTAAAGCTGTTGATAAATCGACTGATTGTTGAGGTTGTGAGGTTGCTCCAGTTCTCGGTGGTAATGATAAATCTTGCAGAAAGCTTTGCAAATCAGATAGTTGTATTGGGGCGCTACCCGCAGTTCCTCCTTCGCTTGTTTGGATTGGAGGGCGCGTTCTGGTTGGTTTTGGAGCATTGGGCGTTTGAGGGGCACCTGATGCTGGAGGTGTTTCAACTCCAGGTGTTGTAACTTGACTGGAAGCTGTTGTTGGAGTTGTTGGCATTGTACGATGAGTTATTGCTGGGGTTGTTGTTGAAGAACGAGCTCCAGCTGTTGAAGGACGACTAAACACAAAAAATTTCTTTAATAATTCGTTTTTAAATGAATTTTTTATTACCTAATTGTTCCTAATAAACTTGAAAGTCCCCCCATTTGCCCTCCACCAAACAATTGCATCAATTGCGATTGAGACATATTATTCAAAAGTGATTGTAAATCGGTATCTGCTCCTCCTTGAGTTTGCACAGCTCCTGAAGGATTATTTAAGTACTCATTAATCCTCTTGCAATGATCCTCATCTTTATCTGCATTTGGTTCTTGAAGCCAAAAAAAGAACTTGCGATTTGATGATTTAAATTTAAGCAGATAAACTCGCCCGGTAGTGCATTGAGTAACTTTAACATATTCACAATCATCAGGAAAAATTATTAAATCATCCTCGATAATTCCCGTGGTGCGATCTTGCCAGCAAAAATGCATTAGGGAATCCTCACTTTGATAGACGTAAAGTAAACCTTTTCTTTTATCTGGGTAAACCATGCGACCTTTTAGGTTCATTTTTCCCGCTCGCATTTCGATTAAGTGTTTATTACCGCCTGTTGAACCAGGACCAGTAGCGGAGCTACCAAAAAGAGCTGTTGCAGGCATCTAAAAAGAAATTGACGTTTAGACAAAACGAACATAACCTAAAATGGGGCTGATCATTATTATGTTGTTAAAATTACCTTTGCTTGAATGAAAAGGTGTTGAATATAGTTAAGTAGATGGTGTGATGATGAATAAAGTGTATTTACCTTGCTTTTTTGAGTATTTATAGAAAATGCCACAAAGCTTAATGACAAGCACTTTTCATGTATCACTGTATCAGTGTTGCCAAATTAAAATAATTTAAATAATGATATTCATTTATAGTTAATAATTTTTTAAGTTTTGTAAAAAATATATGATTTATAGAATTAAATGATTGAAAATGAACATAAATAATTTTGTAGCGAATTTTTACATAATTCATTTTATTTGCTAGTCATGTTAATATATTCGTTGAATTTTTAGTTATTTTATGAGCTATAATCTTTAAAATTGCATTTTATAATTAATTTAAGATTTCTTCTAATTGGTTTAAATTGAATTGAATAACATTTAAAATCAAAAAGAGTAATTACAACAAAGATAATTTTACAGTTTACATTACAACGTTATTCGCTTTGTTCATAGATGGAGCTGATGAACTATCAATTTAAAATTAAACCATACCAAAAGCTCAAAAAAGTTTTAGATTATTTAAAAAGCTTATCACGAATAATTTATTTTTTAAAATTTTATTTAGTGTTTCATCTTTGAATGTTCTTCGGCAATATCATAATAATTGGGAGCGCATCAAGGCTGGTTGTTACGTTTTCCAAGCCATTCCCTTTTCTTTCAACATACACAATTACCATCGCGCAATAATACCTAAAGGCAGCCACTTTAAAATCTATTTGCATCCGAATTATACACCGCGACGTCTTCTTATTCCGTCCGGGGCACGAAATAAGAAAATTACCCATCTCTTGCAGCCGAAGCACAAAGCTCAATTGCATACGACCAAATGGTCCTGAGCGCGCGAGTTTTTTCTTCGGTTCTTCTTCCGAACGGGGCGTAATCTGTAAGGTCAAATTCGAGCCCATAAATTAGGGATGGTAACCTCTCCATTGGCGGAACGAGGAGGGTATCAATTATTGTTCGAAATGCAATCCCCGCGATGAATTGAAAATGATACACGTGCGAAACTCCTCAACCAATAAGAACGCATCGAATAAATCATAGTCTTATCGAAAATTACAAGTGTAGATGTTTTTGATGACTATAAACTTTGTAAGCATGAAATATTCTTTTAAAATTTTCAAACGTAGTTTAGATCGTTTAGTTTTTTTTTAGTTTTAGTAACTGCCGATCTGTTCTGTATGAGACGTTGAAGGAAGTTTTTGCTCGCAATAAAGCCTTTGTACTACATAGAAGCTTAAATTGCCCGTACAGCCGAGTTTCAGTTCCGGGTGGCGGCGGCGGCAGCGTTTCTAGCGGTTCCGACCAGCAGCCACAAAAGACCTCGAAGTATGACGTCGATATGGCGGGGATCCATTGTTCCCTACCGTCGGATTGATTTAGCCCCATTATGACGACGCCGTGTGCTAGCTGCTGCTGCCATCGGCGAAACTCGAGGCAGACAGGGCGGAACTAGTTTAGCGGAAGTGCAATTTACCTAATGCCGGTCTCTAACGAGACGCGTCTGTACGACAAAGGGCGTCTCGACGCCGCGCCGCCGTCTACACGGAGATTGATGCGACCTGGCGAAAACGGACCTTCTACGGACCCCATCATGGAAAGGGAACCCACACGGGAACAAATGGAATATGTTTGGCCAGACACTATCCATCAAATGAAGGGTACATAAAAGAAAATTGGATCACGATAATAATGATGATGAATAGTGTTTTTTTTGACTTTATAGTTTTAGTTTCCAAAAATATTTATGGGAATTTTTGGGCCAAACGATTAAGATACTATAATGATAAGAAAAAGATTTTATAAATGAAAACGCTATCTAAAAGTAAGTATTGAGAATGTGTCATGAGTAATTGCAGTTTAGAATCTCTTTTTTGCAGGCTGCAATTTCTCACTTGTGCAATCTGGAATCTTTTCCATGAAGCTTGGAGATTTGAAACCAAAAAATTTGTGATTTTCGTGATGTCTTATTCTCAGGAACGCCACAATCATCCCACGACACTTGGAGCTTAATTCGGAAGTCGGAATCTGACTTGAATCATTAATCATTACAATCTTCTATTTGAAGTTTGAGAAGCGTATTCTATCAGACATTCTTTCATCTTTCCAGAAGACGTCAAATTTGTTCTTAAAGACTGGATCGCGCTTGAGTAATTGCGGTCTGGAATCTACTTCTTAGAGTGTGCTATTTGTAATTTGCACAATCTTACCATTTGAAACTGTCTTTTTATGAATACAGGACATTGTGATTTTACCAGAAGACTTGAAGCTTCTTTTTCTTGTCCAGAATATGCCACAAATAATTGCAGTTTGAAATCTTTATGATTTATGTAATCTTATCCTTAGAAACTGGACCTGTAAAGTAACCAGAACTGCAACCGTCACCACTAAGTAGTTACAATCTAGAATATTCTTCTTTAAGTCTTGAATCTTGAAGTTGAAAAATCTTCTTTTGGAAGTCCGGAATCTGCCCTGAATAATTATAGCCTTCTTTCTGGCGTCTGAAGATAGTGAAGCTTATTATTTCAGGCAATCTTTTATTTTTACAGAAGACATCACGTTTATTCTGAAAGACAGGAATCTCTTTTCGGCATGGAATCTTCTTCTTGAACGATTGAATTTTGTAATTTATCGTCTTGAAGTCCAAAACTGCATCTGAGAGGTTCAATCTTGAATCTTCTTCTTAAAGTCTAAAATGTGTCTTTTATGTAGTTTTCCTCTCCAATGCATGATTTTGTGATCTTAATGCTTCAAGCTCCTTATTGAAGTCCAGAAGTCTCCGAGAAGAAAATTTCAGAATGCGATTATTTATGAAAGATTTCCAACCTCAAAATAAGATTAAAGCCTTCCGTAAGATCACAGAATCATGCTTGGAAGAAGAAATGCGTACAAAATTTCTCAGATCAAGTTCTGGATTTCATGAAGGAGTTTGGGTTGGGTTGGATTTAGGTTGGTTAATTGCTAGATAGAATCTGATCTGAGTAGATTAAAGCTAGAATCTTCGTACAACCTTCAACCTCCTTTTTAAAGATCGAAATTTCTGCATAATTAAAGTTAGGAACGTCTTCTTGGAGTCTGAATTTTGTGATTTGTGCAGTTTTTTTATGAAGACAGAACTTTGTGATCTTACTAGAAGACTTGAAGTTTCTTTTTGATGTCCAGACTATGCCACGAATAATTGCAGCTTGAAATCTTTATGATTTATGTAATCTTATTCTTACAAATTGGATCTGTAAAGTATCGAGAACTGCAACTGTGTCAATGAAATTTGTAATCTATCTTGAGTAGTTACAATCTAGAGTCTTCTTCATCAAGCCTTGAATATTGAAACTGAAAAATCTTCTTCAAATTTTTTATGTTTACATAAGACTTCTCTTCTTCAGGAATTTTCTTCTTGAAGGATTAAATTTTGTAATTTATTCAGAACTTTAAATTTCTTTATGAAGTCCAAAACTGCATCTGAGATGTAGCAATCTTGAATCTTCTTCTTAGAGTCTGAAATGTGTCTTTTGTGTAGTTTTTCTCTTCAATGCAGGATTTTGTGATCTTAATGGACCGCTTCAAGCTCCTTTTGAAGTCCAAAAACTGTCATATATCGCAGTCTAGAGCTATGCTCTTAGAGGCTACAGTTTTTAATTTGTAACATTTTACTCTTTCCTAACCTTATCCAAGCCAACCCAAACTCTTTCAGGAAATCCAGAACTTGATCTGAAAAGTTTTGTACGCATTTCTTCTTCCAGGCATGATTTTGTGATTTTACTAGAAAACTTTAATCTTCTTTTGAGGTTCGGAATCTTTCATAAGTAATCGCATTCTGGAATTTTCTTCTCGGAGTTTTGAATTTGTACCCTTGGACTCTGTGATCTATTGAAAATTCAACCTTCTTCATGAAACTCAGTGTCTTACATAGATAATTGCAATCTTTCTCTGGAAGCCTACAATTTTGACACCTAAAAATTTGTTTGCAAAATACTTCTTGTTGAGGTCAGAGTCTTTTTTCCGAAGTTAGGATTGTGTAGTTTTTTAGTAATTGTTTGAAATGTAGACTTTGCTTATTTCTGTATAATGATAGAGATGTGGAAATATGATATTCATAAAAAAATAGATACATTTATGTTGAAAATTTTTTTGTTGCTTATTAAAAAAATTCCCAAATTTTTTCGTATCAAACCCAACCCGAATTGCTTCCAAGAATTTAATTATATAAAACTCATTAGTTAGTCGATGTTATATAAAAAGAACGAGTTTCTCCTCTTAAATTCCTTAACATCATCGGGGCACGTTCCTTCACTTAACAACATTGTCTTTATCGAAATTATTTAAAATAAACGTTATGTTGATGGTTATTATTATAAATATTTATTCGATATAAATATTTATAATCGATTTGAATTGTGATTTTCTTTATCTATATTCTGATTTGCGAGTTACCTTTTCCGTCATCAACACGAAACGTAAACACCTTCGACTCCTCCTCGAAGTATCTCTTTTTTTTGAGTCCGCGCTCATCATGACGCAACGCCGATGGAATTTGACGCACCAATTACGCTGTAGGTCCGCGGGGCTTTCGAACGTTGGTACTACTAAACTCAGTACACACGACGTTAAAAAGGACAGACAAACCGTGAACGAGACAGAAAGAAAAATTTTATATCCTACTCAATCTCTCTCTCCTTCTTAACTCTTTTAATTCTTCCTTAAATATTCCATCTTACTCGCTTTTCTCTTCATTTTCTTACCTTATCTCATTTTCATCATCATCTTTGTTTCTCTTTCTTATTATTATTCTTATCTTCCTTTTCCCTTCTCTTTAATTTTTCCCTTCTTTTGATTTTCGTTCCTTGTTCTTCTCGACTGGTTTGTTTACCAGCAGTAAAGCAGGAGGCCAGCAGCAGAAGCAAGCTTCAGGTCTCGTTCAGGACGTTCAGCAGAACTGGCTGGTTTCGTACTCGCTCGTGCCGAGTCCGTGGCGGACAGCCACAAACGACGGTTGTTGGTCCAAGTGCGCTCTCCTAAAACGTGATCTTAACTTTTATATTTCGTCAATGAAGATTTTTCGAAATTTTATTTTTAACAAACAAAAAATGTTTGAATAGAAGAAATTGTTTTTGTGATAATTTAGAGTTAAAAGAAAATATTTTCGGTGATTTTTTTTGGTTTCATTGAAATCTAAAAGAAAGTAGGATTTTTTTGGAAAGTATTTTCTTTTTTGCGTCGAGTTTTTGGGAGTTTGATTTTTTTGTTTGAGACTCTGTTTTTAAAACTTTTATTATTGTCAGCTTGGTTTTGGTGAAGTGAAGTGACGAAAGGTAGGATTCTTTTCTATTTTTCTTTGAATTATTATTTAAAAATACTGTGTTTTTGAGTTAATCTGGTTATAAAACTCAGATAAGATTTTATAAATCTCCGCTTTTTTATTTAAAACAACTTATATAATTTTTTTGTATTGTATTTTAATTGTAATCGTAATCACTATTTATCAAATTTTTAGAATTCACAAATTAACCTTGATTGTTATAATTAACTGCTTGAGTAAATGGTGGCGTTTACTTTTGAGTCATCAAACAACATATCTCTTATAAATCAATTAATTTCCATTTAGTTCCGACATAAACTCTTTTTAACACATAACATTCGATGGGGGTCCAAATTGATTTAACGTTTCCAAATCGATTAATATTTATTTGCACAAATATTTAAAAATCGCCAATTCGAAATGAAAGAAAAAAACCTCTTGATTTAATACGAAATACTAAGTTGTTTTGCAACAAAACGTATTTTTAGAAAGGCAAACATTCTAAACGCAAACAATTATCACTAAAGGATTTTGGAATGCAACACGACTTGCTAAACAAATTATAAAATGTTTAGACTTTAAATACAGCGCGATTCAAAATAATATGTGTTATCACTTGGTGGTGATGTTTCGTTGTGTGTTTTAATTTCGTTGAAGTGGTAATTAATCAAATTCGCTACGTTACTATGTCATACCCGTTACAAAGTCAATAATTTTGCAATGGGAAGTTAATTTATGGCAGTAAAGCTTAAGATACTTTATTGTATCATTCCCAGTATCAAAACGAAGTAGGTTGTTAACCTAACAATAATCAAATTTAGTACAGGAAAATGTAGATAAGAAAAAGGAAGTGTCACACCCGTTACGACGAGAAAAATTCTATAATTAATTCAGCAATGGTTTGAAGCAGTTTGAAGCTTGCCGTGGGGTGCACCGACAAAAGAAATTAATTTTAAATATAAGGAGCTTGTAGTCTGTTTTGATCAGTTTTGTTTTTTCTTCAAGTTTCTATTGTTGTTAACAACAAAGTTACAAGCTCTAAAGGATAACGCAGCTTCTTCGGCAGCGCCATCAGAAATTAAAGCAAACTATGGAAATTGACGAAAACATTTCAGTGACGTTTAATGTCGTTAACGTCGTTGACTGTTGCTAGACAAGAAAAATGTCTGTAAGTCTTGCACAAGTTGCTCTGACAGTGGCTTTGGTGGAAGATGAACAGAATATGGTTTGTTGGGTTGGGTTGGGTGCCATTCAAAGATTTCTGCAGACTTGTACCTTCATCAAACGACCTGGGTCAAGAAAAAATTGTCTGGAGCAACGACTGGACCACAGTTGCTTCGAGAACATCATGTTGCTCGATTACAATTTGCACGAGATCATGTTCAGTGGACCAATGCAGAGTGGCAAAACGTACTGTTCTCAGACGAGTTGAGGTTCGGCTTGTATTTTCTTCCAGATGGTTGAGAGAGAGTTTGGAGAAGAGCAGGAGCTTTGCTCCAAATCGCTTCAATGTTCATCAAATCGAGCAATACGTTCAAAAGTTATTGCACTTTGAAACTGGTCATCATTTTATGTGTGATGATGCGTTTTTTATGCTGTTGAGTGTATTTCATATTCATGCATATAATTGAGTCGTAGAAAAGCATTTTCTTTCTAACCGCTGATTTGTTGATGTATAAATTAATTTTTATACATATAACATATTTTGAAATAAATACAGAAAGGAAGATATAATCTGTTCCCTTTGTAAGGAAAAAGTTTCTAATGATATCCTCCTACATAATGGTATTTAAAAAAATTCTGAATTTTGTAAATGATTTCAAATATTTAGTGATAATACAAAATTAATGAAGAGTTTGGCCACTTTAATGCCTAGTTCTATTTCGTTACCATCATCATCATTCTGTGGCGCTACATCCGTTGGTGAGATTTGGCCTTCTGAACAATCTGCCTCCACTCCACTCCATTAAGTGCTATCAGTTTCCAATTTTGAGCAGCTATTTTATGTCACACCATCCATCTCATTCTAGGTCTTCCCATATTTCTTGGTATATCTGGTTTGCTAGTACAGTATTGAAATAAATGTTTGTAGTTGGAACTCTAGTGATATCAGCAAGAAGTACACTCAAGTGTTTCTGTTTTGCAGATAGAGATGATAATGCCAGACAGTACTTGAATTCAATTAAATTCAAGTCATCATTTTGCAAATGTAAACTTACTTCTTTAAATTTTTATAAAAATATTCCAAAAATTATATCAATTATGGATGAGCACAAGATGGTACGTTGTTCTTAATCTCTATTTTTAAATAAACCTAGAAACGGATTTTCAATGCTAGCTTAAATATATTTCATGATCTGTTAATGTCAAGACGTTAATGAAGGTTAATATTTTTATCATGCTGAGATTCATCAACGAACAACGCTTATTACTACAGCAAGTGTATCGTTGTCAGTTCAAAATGAGCCAAATCAATAGATTGAATCACATGGTAGTGAATTTTGCAAACACCCTTACAAGAACAAGTTAACTCAAGAATTGAAGCTTCTTGATGATTTGAAGCGCCGAAACTTCTCACATTGGCCTCTATTGAACTTTCCTTAATTTCATGGAAAATCATCTCAGCTAATTTTTGACTTCATATTTCCAGTTTTTCTTTATTTTTGTTCGTAAAAAGCACTCGCAGTAGTGCTTAAAACATATTTTAAGAAATAAAGTTTTGAATTTGTTATTTTGTTATTATTCTACAAATAAAGCTTGAAATAAAGTTGTTCGAGAGAAAAAAAAAATCATAATTTTCCTCCCAAATAAAAAATGTTTATTACAAAAATATTTGACTTCACAAATATTTCACAGAAATTGTGTTGAATGAACAAATTTAACACAATTTAAACGTTTTCTTTTTCTTGAAGAATTTTAGGAACTCATCCAAAAAAAATGTCTATGTTTAGCTGCTTAGTTTTGAAAGTTGTAGGCGCTAAAATAGTTTTGGTACCATTGAAGCGGATTTATTTTCAAATGGTTTTATTTTTAGATCTTATTATGTTTCTTTAAAAAGTAAAAAGTACCCAGAATTCGCTTCAAATTTAGTTCATTCTCATTTGGCACTCATCTAAAGATACTTTTATATAAAAAAAAAATTATAGGCACTTAAAAACGTTAAAATGGAAAATGCGTGCTGATCTTTTCCGTTAAATACACAACCGCGGCAATTATCCAAAACGGTTCTTGCGTGAAATTTGGCACACGACTCTCTCAACACATTGTGTGTGTACATATATTCGCAATACCCCTTTCACTAATTTGACGAAAGTTACGGTGTTTTCGGATGTGAGCCAAACGAAAATAGAAACACCCTTCCTTCGCTTTAAATAACAGAGCAAGAAAAAATCTTTCCTTCTAGTTGAAACTGACGTTCCATTTAGAAACGTGTTTATTGAATTTGGCACTTTTCAAATTAGAAGACGGGCTTCGTTTTGTTCAATACAACTAATTATAGAATTGATCTAATTGGTACTGTTTTAAAATGGGATAAAAATTCCTGTATTTTTTTCATGTATCTAATCAACTTATTATTTATCTTAATCAAAACATTGAAATTCTATGCAACATCCGCTTTGAATCGTTTCTATATCGCGTTCGCACTATTTTTACAGACCGTAGTCTAAATATACCACCACCTTGCACCGTCCAGACTTCGTATACGCGATAATATTATATTGTTTGGTTTTAATAGGTTTATCAAAATAAAACTATTAAAAATTTGATTATTCTCACACTTATTTATACGTTTAATTTTAAAACAACCCATAAAAAGAATAAAAACAAAATTTATAATAATCGAGTGATTTCAATGTCATTCTCCGTCTAGACATTTTTAAAAACATCTCGGGCCTTTTAAACTGCCGCGCGATGATGTAATTTGACGACATTACCTAATTGCTCGTCGGCATGTAATTTGTTTTGACTATGTCTATCGACTTGGAAATTACTAAAAAGCAGGATGATGGCGTTTATTTACACAATAAAAAAAAATCTAAAAGTACAGTAAAACCTCGATATAACAAAACTCAAAGATAAAAGTCCGTTACATAAAAAAATTTTAATTTGCACTATAACGTGCGTCTTTCAAGACGGCTAAACCCGAATGATTCTAGTTCTAGGTCTTCTGTTAGTTCTAATTGTAGTGCTAGTGCAAAACTAGAACTAATACTAGACCGAGAACTAGAAACATTCGGATTTAGCCGCACGTCTCTCAAGACGGCTAAATCCGAATGATTCTAGTTTTAGGTCTTGTGTTAGTTCTAGTCATGGTGCTAGTGCAATACTAAAACTAACACTAGACCTAGAAACATTCGGATTTGGCCGCACGTCTCTCAAGACTGGTAAACTCGAATGATTCTAGTTCTAGGTCTTGTGTTAGTTCTAGTTATAGTGCTAGTGCAAAACTAGAACTAACACTAGACCAAGAACTAAAAACATTCGAATTTAGCCGCACGTTTCTCAAGACGGCTAAACCTGAATGATCCTAGTTCTAGGTCTTGTGTTAGTTCTAGTTTTACACTCTCACTCTTACTATGTAGAATTAACACTATACCTAGAACTAGAATATTCAACGATATATTAATACTTTTGTGTGTCGAATAAGTATGGCATAAAATGTTTTGTCCTTGTTAATGCCAAGATGATTTATATTCTAAAAATGAAAATTTATGCCGGAAATCAGTCTAAATTTGCATTCTGTCTCACAATCAGTAATTAACCAATTAAAAAGAATGCCTAATCCTTTATTTGAATCTAATCGTAATAGTATTGATAGTTTGGAAAAAAAAATCATATGGTGGAACTGTGAGAAAAAATAAAAGATAGTTTCCCCCGAATTTGTTATAATCAAAGGAAGGTAACAACACACCAGGTATGTTTACAAACCGAGTGAAGAAGAAGGCAATTCTCGCATTTTCCCAAAAAAGAAGCCAAAGGTTATCACTTTTTACAATTTCACCAAGGTTGGTATCTATATTTTAGACCTGATGGGTGCTATTTACATCGTGAGCCGAAATATTAGCCGAATGTCATATTTTTCACAATGCTGATAATTTCCAAGTGATTTATCTCGTTAACTAACTATATTCACTACGAAGCAGAGTTTTCCTAAAAACATTCTCCCACCAATTGACACTTGGAGCTCAATCGAAAAAGTGTGAAGATTAATCTAAAGGTAGAACTAACACTAGCACCATAACACTGTGCGTCTTTTGAAAAATTGTTTAATGTTTCGGATGCCATGTTGTAACTTTCATACCTGAAGGTTGCTCAACCTGTACAACAGAAACAAGTTTTAGAACGATGGTAAATTGTAAATGTAAAAAATATCACTCTGAGTCAGGTAGCTCAAGCAAATATGGTGTGTGGAACGTACTATGCTGCCAGTCCATACTTGTCTTCTGCAATCTTCAACTAACAGAGATAATATAATACTTATTACTAAACTTTACATATAGTCTATTACCATTACACGATTTAAATCATTACTATGGGTTTTTTATTATGATTTTATGTTCAATATTAATGATATGCCACCTGGTGAAGTGAACCAATTTTATTAGATAGATAATATTTTATTCCGAAGCTCAAACCAGTAGCTACGAAAATTTTCAAAATATCTACCAAAGACATAAATGCAGTGGTAAAAGACGATTTTTTAGCTATCTGTCAGATATAGTTAAAATCGCATTATCTAGAAGTGGTAACCTATGTAAGACTTGTGTAAGAGATGTCAAGTGATTTACTTAATTGGAATTCTTTTTATATAAAAGATCGTACTTTGTTACATAACTGTAAACAGCAAAAAACGTCATTTGAACAAAAAGCGATATAATTATTGTGTGTTTATCATAAATTCAATACAATCCAATGATAATGGGTCTTCATCTTCATATTTAGCTGTGTTTTCAATAAACCTGAACGCTGTTTAATTTTTTGCCAACTATTCATTTCTGTTAGTTCCATCATTTAACATCTTGATAGTTTTAATAAAGTTTTTATGCTTTGAGTCCACTATGTGTGACTATTATTTAAACTTAATAGCTTTATAATCTGCAAACTTTACGGTTGATATCCTCACAGAAACCTTTTTTGGAAGATATGTCTCGTTGAGTTCTCTACCTATCAAACATTTTTTCAACAACTCTAACTTAGATAAGTTGACTACATGAAAATACAGAGCCCATATGGCAGTTCCCATCTTTAGTAGTTTCTTTAGTTACTACTTTTGCAGCTGCTTGTTGACAATCAGGGTCAAGTTATTTCTGCCACCTAAAGTAGTTCCTTCTGATAGCTTTTCTCTTAACCTAGTCTCCATCCTTCTCCCAATGTGACCAACATACTCAACCATTTTTAAATGTATCTCTTCACCATAAGATTCATCAATCAGTTTTCTTCAGATATAGTTCTAACATAGGCTTTATAAATATGACAGTTACTGCCAGGTTCAAGGCACATCAAGCTTTGTCAGACACTTACCTTTGTTTATAAATTGTTGACCACAAATTAAATAATATGAATTTCATTAATTCCCAGATTACTCAACATGCTCAATCATCCTCAAATCAAAAGACAGAAAGAAGTGTGTGTCAAATTATGGAAAAATATAAAACCAAATTTCGAAAAACTAGTCCGTGATCAACGGTATTACTTAATCTGAAAGATGAATACTAACGTATCTAGAGTGTTCACCGTTAAAACTAATTGAGAATGGCCTAGGGCAAAATGTTTTTGCAGTCACTTTAGTGAAGTCACTCACAGTTTTATACAATCAGTCTCTTGTAGGCACCGTAATTCTGGTTTTGTTATATAACTCCAAAGAAAAAACGCCAACACAAATAAACACCACTATTCATAAAATTATTTTGTTTGTAGATTCGATAAACAGAAACAAAACGGAAATTGAAAACAAACGACAGACTAATCATTTGTAAAATAAACAAGTCGAATTAGAAGTTGGCAGTGATTTTAACATATACATAACGCTACTCTAAGCTTTATAGCTTCATATTTTTGAAGTTTATTATTAAAAGATTGGTCATAGTCTAAGTACTATTTGTAGTTGTAATTTTAGAAAAAAGCTGAGTAAATTGCAAACAGGTGTTCGTAATTTCAGGTATTAAGCAAATTATGGTACAAATTATACTAGATTATCTCCAAGATAACCACTTTATACAATGTAAACACTTTTTTAGTCATCTAATTTCCAATAAATTATTTTCCAAATATAGAAAATTAATCCATTTATTGTTCCCAGTGATTTACCAAGTTCCAAGTCGGCGCGCACGACTTCCGGACGACGACGCCGCAGCCGCTGTCGACGAAGAAGAAAAAGGCAAAGAGAAGTAGGAGGAGGAGGAGAAGAAGGAAGAAAAGGCGAAGGAAAAAAGCGTATCGAGGAAGGAGGAAAGAGGAAGGAACCGCCGCCACGGCGAGCCGGTAGCGGGACCCCGAGAAAAGATTAACGTACCGAGTAAGAAGCATGTGAGTTGGGAGAGGCGGGGGACCGACCCCGGACCACAACCACGAGCTGAGATGAGCGCTGCCTTTGCCGGTGGCTTCCTGGTACCGCTTCTTCTGCACCTGTTCTTCGTCTCGTGGCCGCAACCCTCACTTGGTAAGTGCAAACCAAATCTAAATTTAAAACAATAATAATAAGTTTATTATCTAAATTGAAAAGCTACAACAGATTGGTTAATGTTACATTTAACATCTGATTAAGAAGTGTTTTCTAAGTTTAATTTTGTCTACACTACAATGTCGCGCGATTTTAATAGCTGCTAATAATACACACTACAAATCAGTCTGACGAAGGCAAAATGCTTTAAACTTTATGAAATGTTCTGTACACAGCTTGTAAAGACAGTCTAATAATTTATCAAATAGTTGGCAACAGTTGCTATAAAAATGAAGCAAATAAGTTGTTCGCGTTAATTTCCACCGTGAATTAACATAACACATCCGCTTTGGATTACATTCAAGGGACACGAAGTGAAAAGTATAAAACGGGTCGCAATATGTAGGTTGAGTATGTCGCTTGCGTAATTCACCGCGAGACATACCGTGAATGTGTTGTCTATTTTTAACACAACATAGTAAATTAGGTAATCAAGTTTCCTTTGCAACTAAATCAAACCAGTTCTTATTTTTCCAACGCCTACGCGATTTATGATGTCAATGTAAACCATTTTTCCCCCTTTCAAACTTGATTATCCTTCTTCATCTTGCTCAATTTTTTGTTGATCTTATTTACCAAAAAAATGATTTTTTCTTTGTTTTTGTTTCACAATCTTTTTCTTTTTCCAAGACTCATCCGTACGTGGCTACACGTGCGAGACACGTCCCGTCTGCCCTTCCGCCCTTCCCACCGCCCCCCTCTCTTCAATCCGATCGCAGTCGTTGTCGTCGCGCGACCGTCACTCCGTTCGGGTCCCCATCTTCTTCCTTCTTGGAACGACACGAGCCGCTCAGTGGTTCTTCGTCTCCTTCACCTCCCATCTTCTACTACTTCATCTTCAACATCTCCTTTCTTCTTCATCTTCTTCCAGACCATGAAGCCTTCCAAGTTTTGAAACTTTCCTCTTACTCGTTCCTCTCTTTTTGTTCATCTTCTTTCTTTGGAGTCCACGTTGTTGTTGTTGTTGTTATTGTCGACGTCGCGGACATTGGGCGGCAGACCGAGGTTCGATCTCGCTTTACTCGAGAGTGGAAAGAAAGAGGTGAAGATGGTGGGTAAAGGCAGAAGAAGAAGAAGAAGTGGATGATGATGATGAAGAAGAGGAGGACGGAGAAGGGCAAGGAATCGTGTGCCGGCGGCGCACGCAGACGGTCAGTAGACAGACGGACGCGAACGGTCCCCCCGTGGTAATAACCTCTAAAGGTCGCGATGGCGAGCGTCGGGCGAAAGCGTTATGTAAGAAAGGGGTAACCGCAGCGCAGAAGTAAAGAAAACTTTGACCGACCGTCGCGTCGGGGAAAGCAATTGCAACGGAACAAAAACCACAAAAAGAAATGATGCGGTAATATTGTTGAATGGAACGAAATGAAGAAATAAATAGAAATATGAAGGAATTGAAAAAATTATGATAAATATATTCAACTATACAAGAATGTGGGATCACTATTGATCCCATTAGTATTATAAGTAACAAAAAAATTTGATATCTGATATATAATCTGACTGTAATTTTTCCCATTCTTAAGAGAAATGGTATGACACTACTAGTTAGTGGCTACTCGTTAAAAAAAACCTGAAGATAAATTTGTATGCAATAACTATTTGTGTACCAATCTCTCAAAGATTGATCTTTGAGGCCCGATTTGGATTATAGTTGAGGTCGCTTGCGTTCGAACCATTAAAATCATTAAACATGAAACTGAGATATACAAAATGTTTTGAGTAACCGATTACGCATTGTATAGCTAACACTTAATATCTAGATATAACAAGTGTACAACAACTCTATAGTAGCACAAGAGTCAATCTGTTGGTTCATTTCCTCTGGTGATATTGTGCTATATTTATTATGATATTGTAAGATGCAGCAAGTTTCTTAGTATTCTTCCCATAATGTCCCAAACATGATGGATGGAATGCAAATTTGTCCATAGAACATCTTGCAGTATGGAGACGAGCATACGTTATTATGATAATATGCATGACATATGCAGGTAAGGATATGAAGTTGATCCACTTCATCCATATACCGCTAAGCTTTAATATTGCCTGGGAGGAATACCAAACCAAACCTAATTTCATAATATATAACACTCTATACCATAATTCCCACACAAAGTCAGAAAACATTAAAAAAATATATATCATAAAATTAATAGATCAACTAAAAAAGATCTGACATCCTGATATGAATTCCTGATGCTCCCTGGTCCATGCCTGACATATTAATCATCTTCTATAATTAAAAAAAAAGACAAAAATATAAGATTCTAAAAATCTAAAATAAAAGTAGTTTTGAGGTAAAATTTATATATTTTAATAGCCAATTTAAAAAAATCAATTGCAAAAAGTAAGAACTTTGTGAGTCGAATCCAAAACAAATCATCTACATTAATAAACGCTTAGAATTGTTACCATTTTCGTTAATACAGGTTTGTAATTGACGACGAGTTCCTGGTAGCAGACTTGAAATTCCTTCGTCAATCCATTTATTAGAAAAACGACGATTTAAAATTTTCTTATGTTCTCTAAGAAACTTGCCAAAGTGTTCTTAGCAAAAATTACTGTAATTTTCATCATTCCGAGAGCTGGGCAGAAAATATAGACTGATGATATTCACAGACCTATGCTTTTGCTGATTCCGCGGGTTACAATATGAGACTTCTCATTGGCACTATGTATAATAATGATGGTGATTATAAACTACTTGTTGGTTGAAATGTGTTTCATCGGCATTATGGAAAAAATTAAGATTTTGGTGAACATATCATTTAGGAATCCAACATTTAAACAAGTTGCAGTTGGTATGGATTCAAGTTGTATCCATAAAGACATTATTATTATTATTATCTTCGAAGATATTTATCAACAGAGGATTTGGTGTGACACTTATTTCTTAGCAAATAAACGTGTATTGGTGGTATTTTGATTATTACTCTTTTCATTTCTGTTCCAGCCCTCGTTTTACTTCCAAACGCCCATTTCTTCCAAGCGTGTCTTACACTATGCAAGGTCCATGGATTTTCTAATAAATGTTCCTTCCAGTCTTAGTTAGGTTGTCACGTTTGTCTAGCATTAGTCTCCATCATCACCGAGTTTCTATCATTTATTTACCCCTTGTAAGTTTCAGCTCTTCTAATCGGGTTTGATGTTGCGCTGTAGGTGCTAAGAGACAACATTTGCTGCCTTTTGAGAAATATTTCCCGGCAATGGAGTTTCTTCATCATCCTTCCTATCCCTTTCAACAAACAAATTTTGAACTATTTTGTGATCTGGATGATGATGATGGTTTGGAAATAGTTATACAATCTCTATGCAACAATTGTGCGTATAATGTTGTTCAAGTTTGTGACTGTTGAGTATGAATTACAACGAAATTAATGTTTTGGGTAATTGCAAGGGAAGAGGCTTCACTTAAATATCAACAGCGTTTTGCACAACGTCGCATTTCATCCCTGTAAACTTTTAGCACAACTTTTCATGCTCTCTAAAACACTACTTCACTTCCGAGCGTTTATATTCAGTATGAATGACTACCACAGCAGAATGTTGTAAAGGAAGAGAATATCCATAGTTGAGTGCAACCCCAATGTTAGTACACGACGAATATGCACACATTTAGTGATTTCCAATATCAAGATGTGAAGTACATTCAATAAAATCCTGATATCACTGTATAGCGTGTTCAATATCTGGTACTAGATGATCTCCTGAGGAAATAATGGGAACTTGTATCGCTGCATTTTATTTACGCATGATGATATAACATTCATAACATTCCTCTCTGATCCGACATCAACCCTAATGCCACCATAGAAACTAATTTTTTGAAGAATAACATTGCATTTAGGAGCAGTCATTGCTCCTAAATGTGCGTTACCCTAATCACTGGATCAGTCATGGTGGACGAAACATTATGGATTACAACGTTAGATATAAAAGTATTTTGTACCTATACCAAGAGAAAGTGGAAATACGCGATGCTTTAATCCAAAGAATTTTTAACGCTGCAAAGCAAATAAAAGAAATCCATGCGAAGCTAAGGAATGCAACTCGAGTACTTGACAGACTATGTTTTTGACTTAATAATGTATTGTTATTACCGACTGTATATATAATTTCAAATTAGATAAAAGGAGGCAATGGTCAGCATCATACTTATAATGCTAACTAATGGTATGATGGATCTGTAATAATAAGTTGTTTTGGTTTATCTGCACAACCCCAACATTATTCTGACAATTGGGAGTACGACAAATATGAAAAGATCCAAAATTAACATACATCAATATTATGATAGAAATAGCTTCTGCTTCTGATTTGTGCACACCATCCCTCATTATTATATACCAAATAATTTGCCAAAATTTCTTTTAGTTTTTAATTGGATATCAGATAATATCTATCAATATGATATATATCAAACATTAATATATGTCAATATCAATGTATTTTTTGCACGACATTTAAAGTGTTATTCATTTGTAATAAGCTGATATAATGCTAACGATGATATTGGTAAAATTACAAGAATAATTGTATGACAAGAAGATATAGTAATAATACCAGTATTTATCCAATCAAGTTGATGGGATAACATCTTCATCATCGTTACAGCATACACATTTAGTTGTTTTTTAAAAACACGTATAATAAGGAAGGTCTTTCGTTAGAGATCGATTTGCGATAAAGTTAAAGTAATCGAGAGAGAAAGAATGTTATGATGGCGAACGAATGAACGAGAACGAAGTGATCGAGGTTGGCCGTGGAAAAACAAAAAGCGGTGGCGGCGGCGGCAACAAGCGAGCGTCGTCTTCGTCGATAGGCGGTCGTCTGTCCGTCCGTAATTATCTCGGCCTCTTTAGACGTTCCGTCGTCGGTTCCAGGAAGTTCCAATCCAAGACGAACGAACGTACGGATGGACAGACACTTTCTTATAGTAGTAGTAAAACCGACGATGCAGATGTCCGACTTCGTCTACCGCTACTTTTCACCTCACGGCAGAGAGCACAATGGACGGAGGTAATTGATTTAATTGAATCGCGGATGCGGGAACAATGGGCCACTGTCGGAACTATTCCGTCGACTGACGAACAATCGAACGTTAGATGCAACGCCAAGGTCCAACCAACCTTGGATCTAGACTTCCGAGAAAATTGTTTTAACTATGTACGTTGTTTTTTTCAATCTCACATCTCAATAGCAACAAATTACCGATGATTATCAAAGACTTCCTACGTAGTATCCATCACAATTTTACTTTCGCATTCTTTCAGTCTTTACACTACACTCTCACGTGGTACGTAGTAAAGCATGAAATAAAACTTAGAGACTTGGAGGAAAAAAAGAAAAGGAGATGCGTGGCATTTCATCCCGTCCACATAGAAAATTATCTGGCGTAATCGTCCCGTGGCCATCTCCGCCCATATAATTATCTATCCTGGCTTTCTAATCGAGCCGACGAGTTAACTGGAAAAAGAAAAAAAGACGAAAAAATAAAGCACGCCGGATAATTCGATGTTATTAACCCTCGCGTATGTATACGTTTGAAGTGGCCCCAATGTGGACACGTGTGACCGCTCTTGCGAGATGCGTAAATGCGCGATGCGTGATGGAAACTAGCGTGTTTAATGCTTACGATTGCGTAACGAGAGAAGCTTTTGCAATGCTCTCAATGTGGATTTTTCAACTGATGCGATCTAACTACAAAAATACACACAATATATGCAACATACAAAAATATATTTCCATAGATACCTATTTACTTTATCCCACATAAAATGCAACATGTCAATATCATTTGACATTACAGTAAAACATCATTTTCGCTGGCCTAAGTCTAAAAAGAAAGCCTAATTTATTATACAACAAATGTTGCTTTTTGTAGTTACAATTAATAACGTGTGCTTTTCAGACTCCAGAGACTGTCTCTGTGGTAGCATTGCTATCAACTGTTTTAAATAATTTTAAATTCTTCCAATGTTAAATTTCTCTTATTTTTGTTATAATAATGGTGATCTGAAATTTTCCATAAACAAGAAAGATCCTTATACATATAGTAGAAACCAGGAGAGCTGGCAGTGACATGACGTTTAAAAATGGTATGAAAGCTTTGATTATATATAATATGGATTGAGCCAACGAGAGAGATAGACATAGAAGCGTACTGACATATAATGGGCGTGCGTTAATTTATAAGATAAAAAACTATCAATTAGAAGTAACATTTATAATACTTACAGGTGATGTGAAACTGTATTATCGCGAACTTTGCACACGAAACAATACATTTTTAAACATAACGGTGTGACTGGCTGTGACACAACAAAACGATAAACGTCAAATGGAAGAGGCTTGACACTTTTGTGCGCATGCGCACGTCTGTTTAGTACGGTTTTATGTCTATCTTTCACAGACTACTACCAGACGGCCAACTCCATTGTGAAAGCGAGATCCAATATATACCGGTCTCTCTCACTCATCATGTAACACTTATGTAGATGGCAGTGAGAAGCAAAAATGCAATTGGCGCCAAATTCAAATCGTTTAGTTAATTTAATATTTGAATACAGAAATATTTTTGATCTAATGTGCTTTTTGTGGATCTATTAAGCTATATTTAGCTTGCGTAAGCCAAAATAATTACAGCTTAATAGACCAATAAAAAGCACCTCAAATCAAAAAGTTATAATTTTATAATTTCAATGCAAAATAAAGAGAAATCCATTGGCGAATTAAAATTTTATATTTAAATTACAATATAATTACACTAAAAACCCCTGTCCTCGTCTTCTCCGGGATGACCCTCACAGGTTGGGTTGGGTTGGCCGTTTTTGTCTGTGGTTTTCAAATGATAAAGTACATATAACAAAAAAAGCATTATAACAAATAAATGTTGGTTATCAAACACCAACTGCTTCTTACCCTAAGTGACACGGTGTTATCAAAAATTTGAATACTATTGAAATTAAAAATTAATATAATTAAAATACTAACCTGTCCTTATTCTTGGGAAAACAAAATAATTTTCCAACTTCATCTTCGCTACATCCACACACAATGCAAAACATTTTTACAATAATTATTCTCGAAAATTATTCGTAAAAAATACAACGCAAAAATAGATAATAAGCACAAATAAGACAATAAACCACAATAAACGCAAAAGGACTGTGTGACATGTGACATACATAAAATGTCACAACCGCTTAAACAAAGTCAACAGCTTTCTGTAATATTACTAACGACATGTACGCCATCTACTAAGGATTTCTATCAAGATGACAAAGAGAAAATATCGGTATTATGATGTGATAATAAGAGATACAGAATGGCCTATCATTTTCCCGGTGAGCTAACTCTCTGCCTTACTCTGTGCTATCTTTGTTACACTTTCACATTATCGCTTTCCATCTGCGTCTGTTCACCTTGAGCGACATTTTTGTTAGTAGATATATTCAGTTAGCTCAATCCATATTATATATAATCAAAGTATGAAAGGGTATGAATCAAGATATGGACGTACGACTTAGATTATTTCACCACATACATTTAAATGTAGGTTATGTTAGTAATGGAGGTTATATGTCAAACATTGTCAAAGATATTATTCAATGATTTTCCATTCAAAGAAAACATTTTCGGCTTGTGAAAACACTATACTCTGTTTTTAAACCAGGAGGAGTAAACGCGAAAGTCAGATTTACACTAGGAAAAATCACCAGAAAAATATCACTAGATATTTTGGCGGTAAATTTAAATTAATAATTATTATTATTTATTTATTTACTTATTATTGTATTTATTTTCGTTTGTTATAGTCAACACTAAACATACAAATTAACATTGAAGTTATGAGTGTATTTATTTTAAAATATAATTTTACAAAAGTAAATAAAATAAAATGAAACTGTCGAATGATCAATAACCTAACCGTCAAATTCAAAATCAAAATTCAAAATTGCCTGTGTGTGAACCTTCCTCGCATTCAACCAATCACATGCAAGGTAAATCTGGTAACAAATTTAAAATACTCCTCCTGGTTTAAAAACAGAGTATAACAGATTCATGACAACGCTCACAAGACGTTTCGATTTGAGGTTATAATTATAGAGTTACATCCCTAAGGCCCACTTTTACCACCTCCTGATAAATTTATCCGATTGATAAATCCAGTTCTTAGCCAATGAGAGCGCTTAAAACCGCCGTAACCATGGCAACTATCCTCTAGATAGTTTATCAGGAGGATGGTAAAAGTGGGCCTTAGAAGAACAGACGTACTTTTTCGACATGGCCATTTGAATTGTACAGCAGACATATTCAACTAATACTATCTCTTTCTAACACACATTACTCTCTAGCGGTTTGTGAACTACGTATGGCATTTGTAAGAGCGGAAAACCATGATTTACTGCCAGCTCTCGTGGCGTCTACTATATCAATGACACTTATAACAAAATCACGCTTTGCACTCATAGTCACCAATTTACCTCGATGAGGGTTTAATAAACATTGAGACAAAAAATAGTCACGTTTTGATACCCACGATCGCTCCAACGTTCCATCGTGCCATCACTCTGTAAAACTAGAACTAATACTATACCTAGAACTAGAATCATTCGGGTTTAGCCGTCTTAAGAGACGTGCGGCTAAACCCAAATGATTCTAGTTCTAGGTATAGTGTTAGTTCTACATAGTAATAGTGCTAGTGTAAAACTAAAACTAACGTTATACTCAGAACTAGAATCATTCGGGTTTAGCCGTCTTTAGAGATGTGCGGCTAAACCCAAATGATTCTAGTTTTAGGTATAGTCTGAAGACGCACGGCTAAACCCGAAACTTTCTAGTTCTACGTCTAGTGCTGGTTCTAGTTTTAATTGTTATTCAGCGCTAGATTGTTGTATATTTTTATTGAAGTAGTTAAAAGGTTAAATATACGTACAATATTATAAAAGTACGTATATTAGATTATATAGTAGAACTAGAATCATTTGGACTTAGCCGACTTAAGAGACGTACGGCAAAATCTGAATATTTCTAGTTCTAGGTCTAGCGTTGGTTCTAGTTTTACACTAGCACGTTATTATCTAGATTAAGCTATGTTGCATTTTATGTGAGATAGTGCAAGTGCATAGTAGTTTCGTAACTATGGTTCATACCGCATTCATATATTGGAAATTATATAAAATTCCTGAAATAATATTCCTGGAAGACCCAATTCGGCCATGTCTTCATAATATATTAGTCACATTTGGAAAAATAAGCCTGCTTAAACTGAATCATCGTCGGTGACATATTTGGTTTTTATGAAATACCCACTCGACAATTTGGAAGATATTTTTAAATTGAAATATTTGTCATGGAACCTGCTTAGATAACCATTTAGAGTGGTCGTTTCAATTTGAGCACGCGATACAGCGCTACGTTAAAGGCATTTCAAGTGCAAAGTAAATTGTCCGCGGTGTTTACAAGGAAGGCGTGCCCACACCTCATTTGAATATGCAAAACTGCCTTCCTCAATCTATCAGCGCAACGTCGCAGGTGTGAAACCGTCAATAATTGTACATTACACACGTCATATATTATAATGAATTTGTTTTAGTATTTTTAAAATACTTGGAATCGTTATTAATAAATCGAAATTTATGAAGCGGTCAAAACAATACGCGAACGAATCCGGCCTCCTACGGTTACCTCACCGGTTTGGATCATTTGTGCACGTCACGATAAAAATCTGACGAACCGTCTGGTGCACGTCTGAAGGCACGACTTTTGGCAATGGTCATCCATCATCGGATGGATGGATGGTCGACGACTATAAGGTTTGGTCCCCGAGGGGATATTATCAATTTTCTGCGCGCTAAATATAGATGATGTAGAGAGGTATGTGTATAAGAAAGGAAACATATACCGACCGTCCAAACGAAATCGATTAACAGAGACGGAATTGCGGTTAATATTAGAAAACTATTTCACCTCTCTATACATACATCAGATCTATAAAATTCCTTACGGAAACCATATGGTTTCCGCGCTCTAATTAATCGTGATTTGTAAGCGGATCAATTTCAAGATGTTTCCTCCGTTTCGTAATGCAACAAATATCTAAGTAGGTTTACTATAAACTGTGAAACTCACCGAACGCCCACACGTTTAACCGATTCCACAGTTGCAGTCGCCTTCGAAACGACGCATCGTAATTCCTCTATATTATTGGATGCAAGATACGTAGTATACATTTTATGTATTCCATTTTTAGTCGTCTATAAGACTCCATGCGATAGATTTAAAACAGTAAACAGTGAAAATATCCCGATGATATAAGATCTTTATTTAGGGTTGCATTAAGGATATTGCATGTCTCAAAAGCATATTTTGAATATGACTTGTGTTATTTTGTATGTTGTATTCAAGTTAATTTTAGAGATTATTGTGTTACGTTTGGATCCAAAATAAGATCGTATTCAATATTTTTAGGTTTTTATTTGCATTCCATTTTACAATTTAAGTTTTTAGTAAGTTCAAATACTGAATTCACGTCGTTAGAATATTTTAGGTTAGATTTCAATCAAAATTTAATTAATAATTGGCGATATTTCCGCAAGAATACTTTAAGAAATCAATTTTATAGTGAATTTTTAAAATTATCGATGAAAATTGCAACATCGAAAATTTTATCAAAACTTCAAATATTGTTTTCTCAAAAACTAAAGACTATTTTTCAAAACGGGTTGGTTCATTGGAAAGAAGACACTTTTTATTAACACTTTGGGACATTTTCATACTCATATTCCAAGTAATTGATTTTATACGAATTTTTAAAACTTAATCGACGAAAATTGCAAAATTCGAAAAAATTGTTGATAATTTCAAAAAATTATTTTTCAAAAACTATAAGCGATTTTTCAAAACGGCTTGTTGCATTAAAAAGAGAATACTTTAATTAATAATTGGTGATATTTCCACAAGGATCCTTCAAGAAATGAATTTTATAGCGAATTTTGAAAATTATCGATGAAAATTACAACATCGAAAATTTTATCAAATCTTCAAATATTGTTTTCTCAAAAACTAAAAACTATTTTTCAAAACGGGTTGGTTTATTGGAAAGAAGACACTTTTATTAACACTTTGGGATATTTTCACACTCATATTCCAAGAACTGGATTTTATACGAATTTTTGAAACTTAATCGGAGAAAATTGTAAAATTCGAAAAAATTGTCGATCATTTCAAAAATTTATTTCTCAATAACTGATAGTGATTTTTCAAAACGGCTATTTACATTAAAAAGAGGATACTTTAATTATTAATTGGTGATATTTCCACAAGGATCCTCCAAGAAATGAATTTTATAGCGAATTTTGAAAATTATCGATGAAAATTACAACATCGAAAATTTTATCAAAACTTCAAATATTGTTTTCTCAAAAACTAAAAACTATTTTTCAAAACGGGTTGGTTCATTGGAAAGAAGACGCTTTTATTAAGACTTTGGGACATTTTCATACTCATATTCCAAGAAATGGATTTTATACGAATTTTTAAAACTTAATCGGCGAAAATTGCAAAATTCGAAAAAATTGTCGATCATTTCAAAAATTTATTTCTCATAAACCAAAAGCGATTTTTCAAAACGGCTTTTTACATTAAAAAGAGGATACTTTAATTAATAATCGAAAGTGATAACAACGACAGTTCTGTTAGTAATGAATGTACTATGTGACGAAACTGCAACAAGAGTTTTTATATATCGTATTGGGATTGTTACAATGAGGTTGCTAATGACAAACCTGATATAAATAAAGTTGTATTCAATGAAAAAAGTCCTGTTGGGGTTGAACTGTGAATGGTGGGGTACTAACTAATAGGTTTTTAATATCCGTCCAAAGCCGGATAGTTGCTGGATATCCGTTCCACCACTACTAGGAGGAACTCAAAGCAAGTTGAATCGTAGTTTCAATATAGTACCTATAGTTATTCTTTAACGTTGCTACATTTTTGGCAAAGATGGGGAATATTTCCGATATGTTATCAGATTTGCTCCGATGAAACAATTATCAAAAAAAATGCTGTAAAGGCAGCTTATGTCCTGTACATCTATTAATTCTATGCTACAGCTGGGGAATGAAGGCAATAACATAGCAGATATGACAAAGAATCAAATGCAACCATTTTCACAATCAAATGTATCCTGAAGTTCTCAAACATCTTTTACAATCAAACAGAACTGAACACTTAGAGTATGGTTAATCATTATCACTTGAAATTTTAAAATTCTGAGAAAGTGAATACAATGATACATGATATGCAGAAATTTTTGAAATAAATGACATGATTTAAGAGGTCTGAAACAGTCTTAATCAGTCTTATATAGTTAAAGTTTTAGGACTTAATT